TGGAGGCAAACTATGTGAGTTAGAACCGAGTCCCTGCCACTGACTATAGCTATGGACTTAGGGAAGTCATTTAACCTTTCTGAGCCTTGGTCTTCTCTAACTATGAGAAAAACAATACTTCCTTCTTCATGGGGTTGTGTGAGGTGCACTGTTGTAAGACACTTAGCATGGGGCCTGACACATTGTAAGCATTCTATAAATGTTATTATTAGTGTTATCATCCTTCCCCCCTTTCCTTCTTGCCCTTAAATTATTGCTATGTGAGCACAAGGAGTAATTAGGATGTGGCTAGGGTTGAAAAAGTGGGTAAGACCTCCCTGGGAGAACAGAGTCCATTTTTTTGATGCACAGAATCCAGAAAGTTGCAGGTTTCCCCAGAAATATGACTGCTATCAACACAAGTTAAAGGGGTGTCTTTCTGCAAAGTAGCCAGTGCTTCTGAGGCCTGTCTGCATCCTGACTTCCCATTTAATACAACTGTCAGAGCACTAGTGGCCAAGATATGACACAGCCCTCCTCTTATTTTGGGCTATTCTTTCACTACTGTGGAGTGGCTCTGAGGTTGGGGAAGAAGACACCTGGATTTCTTTTTTCTAATAGTATTTACCTGAGGCCAAAGCCACCTTATTAAGTATTGCCTCTAGTAAAAGTACTGGTTTGCTTTTATTTGCTAGTTTAATTGAATGTTTTTTTTATAGATGTGTCTATTTGCACATCAAATATGATGAGATTAACCCCATGTTTGGGGGACTGATCTTCAAGTTAAAGTTGTCCACAGCATGAGGGGAGGGGGACAGGGGGAAGGAATAGAGAACACGAATCTGAGAGACAGAGAATGAGACAGTGAGAAAGTGAGTAAAACACCACTGTCTGTGTACAAGTACGACAGTGATCTAGGAAAGAGAGAGAAGCCCAGCTAGCCTCCTTCCTCTATCTCGGAAGACATATCCAGAGACAGTGACCCACCTCCTAATTTTGGGCCAACATCTCCATCTTGCAATAAAAAGGGCAATTCTAAGTTATGTTCTTTTGTTTTGTCCAAGGGTTTTTTCTGCAAAGAAGAGAAAGACTTTGATAACTGGTGTAGCCTTGTTCAGAAGGTAAAGATGTATATTTTTTTTCAGTCTTACAAATGTAAGTTACTCAGTATATTTCCTTTGTAGGATTGTTTTCAGAGTAACATAAACTAGTCTGATATGATTTTATTATGAGAGAAAAACAAAGGCAGTAAAGCATCATATGTGAAGAACTGTGCATAACTTTGGGGGAACAAAGCAAAGCTTTTGTTTCAAATGTGCTTAATATGTCAGGTGAGTAATAGCCTTAGTGGTGAAACTTAATGTTTAATTTCATCACACTTATGAATCATATGAAATATTCAGCTAATATCCTACTATTTTAGCCTAAAAATGCCAACTTCACATTTCTTAGCACCAAATCTTTCCTTACTCTTCTAATGATATGCTGATGGTTAAAGAAACTAAAGTACTTTTCTATTTGTTTAGTGGCCCATTAACAGCTTCATATATTCCGGCGTGGTTTAGATGGCTTATCCTTCTATTAACTTTTTCAGTTTTTAAAATATAGACATGCTACCACTTCAAGGAATTACAATATGCAGTAATCCATGTAAAGTTATTCTTTTCTTTTGGTATCTTCTGTAAAAGGGGATGATTTCACTGGTGCAGCAGTCTTTGTATCTGTCTCCTTCATTGTCAGCCTCTAACACATGCCAGTAGATGGATGACATTTAAAAATGCTTATTGAAAGATCGAAGGGAGGTCATAAGAAGTAGTTTCAAGAGCCTCAGGTGGGGTGTCAAGAGACACAAAGTTCTCCTATCAGTGAAACAGAAGGATTGGAGACATGGGAGCCCAGAACCTTTGTAAGAATAAGAAGGGAAGATTTTTCTTCACAAGTGAATGAAAAACCAACACCAGTGTACCTAACTGAATCTGAGACCCTGTGTAATAATTTGCTGAGACGTAATAGAGAATTATTTTTTAAAGGCAATACTTGGACTTCAGAGTGCCTTAAATGTTGGACTATAACTGAAACCATGCTTATTTGTGCTGGTATTCTCCTGGGGCATATTTAATTTGATTATTAAATGACATTTCTTTGCAACAAATACTTCAGGAACATTTCATAGCTAAGTTGAGCTTGGGCCTGTGCACCTGGCCTGTGACAGAGTGTGGACAGTAAGTATTGGGTTCCATCAGCTACTCCTAGTGGCTTTCCTGCCTGGCCCACATGATCAGGAATTGAAGACAGCTGAGATCTTCAGATGGCTCAAGAAGAGGATATTTATACCTGCTAGACCTTTTTTTTTTTTTTTCTACCTGTCCCTCTTTTAGGGTTTGGGTCATAGATCACCACTTGGACAGAAATACAGTGACTCTATAGGATTTACAACTGTTTCTGTGTCTCCCCAGGAAATTCTGAAGGAGAACTTAAGGATGTTTGAATTAGTTCAGAAACATCCACCACATTGGCCTCCTTTTGTACCTCCAACCAAGCCAGAGGTGACAACCACTGGGGCAGGTAAGGTATTCAGGAGTTGTCGGGCAGAAGATTCACATGTAGCAGTTGTTTTATGAACAGAAACAACTGTGGCTCATGCTTTTTGTGGAAAGTAAAATTTCTACTCAGCTGGGTTGTATAAAGAATAATTTTTCCAATTATTTTTATCTTCTGATGAGCTGATATTTTTCAGTTTCAAAAATGATAAAGGACGAACATGGGCTTAGTATAAAAGTTCTATGCAAAATCAAGATGTCTAGAATTTGTTGTTGTTTTTTTGCGCTGTGGTTCAGAATAACAAACCAGAGGCTGTGGGTGATTCCAAAAGTATCTGAAAGGGCTTGCAGATTGTTGGCCAGCTCACTGATCCAGCCTATGTAACCGGCCTGGTTATTTTGAGTCTTTGTAGAGAATTTCTAATACTTAGCCATAACCCTAATTGTAAGTCTCCTACAGACAAGCCTTTCTATGGCCAAGTGATTCAAAACTGCGTAATCTTAATGATTGAGTAGTGTATTAATTGACCACATCAACCCAAATGACACGCTTTCCTTCTCATTTCTGTATTTTAATAGAATTCATTGACTCTACTGAACAACTGGAGGACTTTGACCTGGAAGAAGATTTTGAGATTCTGAGTGTGTAGTATAGTGGGAACTGAACTTGGAGCTGTCTTCCATATGGCACCGCAGGAACATGAACTTGTTACATAAAACAACTTTTCTAGTCAGCAAGTGCCTAATATGCCAACAACACACAAACCTGATAGCAGTCATGATGGAGTCAATCACCATGTCTCAACAAAAAGCAAAAAACAAAGAAATGACACCAACCCTTCCCCAGGAAGATATAGAACAATCATGGACTCTAGGAGCAGAAAGATTACGAGGAACCCATTGCTACCCAGCTTCTTACATAGCTACAGTAAGTCTTCAGCAGGTGAAATGAGGACATTTGGAAGACAGATGGCAACTCCCATTTGTTTTCATGCACCGGCAGATGAGGGATGGTTACGCTGTTCTTCACCCTTTCAGGTGTGACCTCTTTGGGGCTAAATACTAAGAAGCAATCTGTTCTCTTGCTCAAATAATAAAGTAAATCAGGGAGAAAAAGTTCCTGTTAATTATTTGAATATGTATTTTAAATAATAATTTATATCAAAACATTTGCCAAAGAAATGATGTTAAGTGTATACTTCTCAGTTGTCTTCCTATTTGGAGGAGCTTCAGTATTTGATGGGCACAGCCTTCATCCTTACTGATACTTTTGTCAGATATCACCTACCCGGTCTTTAGATCAATCATGCTCCTTAAATCAGGAGTCAGCAAACTTTTTCTGTAAAGGGCCAGATAGTAAATATTTTAGGCTTTGCAGGCCATGTGAGCTCTGTCACAAGCACTCAACTCTGCTGTGGAACTTCAGACGCAGTAACAGCCAACATGCATGTAACTTAGCGGGGCTTTAATCCACTAAAATGTTATTCACAAAAGCAAGTGAAGGGCTGGACTTGGCCTGCAGTCACTTGGCAATCACTTCAATTGCTAATTTGTTTGAGGAATTGAAAACAAATTTGGTTTGAATTATATTGTTTTGGTCGACAGCCATATTTATAAAGAATTATTCATGTAGTGAATCTAATCTGTGCAATAAATACAATTGCAAACCTCTCTAGGACTAGTAATTTACTAAGTTTTAAAACACATATTCATCAAATGAGCTTTGCTAACCACTCTTCTGTGAGGATACTCAAATCCTCACACTATCTTTCCATTTTCCTTGCCTTGCCTTCTTAATTTCACTCCCATCCTTAACATAGTCACACAGGATGCCAGCATCTGGGGTTTGCAAACTAGCACTAACCAATTCAGTTGTTCTCTGAGAGCCCATGTTTTCCTTTTTTTTCCCCAGTAGGTAATATATTTCAGAGGTTCAAAATTCAAAGATGCGAAATTATATTCAGTGAATATGTCTCTCTCACAGGTCAGTTTTCTTCCCTGAAGGTTCCCAATGTTATTCATTTCTTGTTTTTCCTTCCAGATGATGTATTTTATGCATATATAAATATACTCACATACTTAAGTGTATACACAGATATAAAAATGTATGCAAATACACACAAACATATATAGCTTAGATTTTATTTTAATGGCTTTAATATTTCTCTAGTTTTAATTTATTTATAAATTATCCCAAGGCCACAGAAATATGCAAATTCTTTCTTGAATTCTAGCATGTGATGGGGATAAAAGTAATTGTAGGCTTATCTTGAAGCATACTGTGGGTTTGCTGACCAGTAGAGGACTCTTTCAACTATTTGACTTTGATCATTTTCTCTGATCTTTTCTTGCTTCAATATTTTGTTATACAGTTTAATGAGAATGGATATTAGAAAAGTTTTTATCAAAGAATGCCAAGAGTCAAGTATTCAGATTTTATTCATTTTATTTGCTATGTAGAAAGTTGACACCATATTTATTACTCAGGAGGTTAAGATGACAGTAGTTCAGATTATACTGATTAAGCTTTGGCTGTGTTGGCACAGTTTACATAATACTTAAAGAAACAGAATCACCTGGAAGGAATTGCCTCATGTGAACATATCTAAAAGTGTCATGGGAAACTGGTAATTAAAGAAAGTGGCCAAGATGAAAACCCCATACAGAATATGCTTTATAGCCAACTCAGGCTTGCTTTAGGTCTACTAACTGTTAATAAGAGCAGTGTTCTAAATTTATGAGTATTAAAAAAGTTTAAAAGGCTACCTATGAAAGAGCAGTAGGATAACCATTGTAATGCAAAGCCTGAGCCTCAGAATGCAAAGAACTAACACACTACAACTTCACTGTACCGCATGGAGTACATTTGGATGGCATATAGAATAAACAGAGACTTTTAAGAAATTGAGAAAAAGTAAATGAGATGTACCTTTTTATTCCTCTAGCCCAAAACACATTCCATACCTTCTTACCCATTTACTCCTCTACCCCTGGCCCAGGAGAAAGTGCTGTGGTTTCTGTTTCCTTTTATGGCCTTGGCCACATTTATTGCAGCCTCTGTTCTACTTGGCCCAAGCCAAGTCCTCTGGCTAGGAAGAATGAGCCAGCAAGGAGGATGTGATTTGTCTAGGCCCATATGAAATTAAAGGCTGCTGGCCATCAAGCCTTTCTCAGCAATGTGGGACCCAGTCTTGCATACTTTGGAAGGAGTCATGGCTGACCCTGCAATACTGGCTGGCAATTCCTTCCAGTTCCACCCAGACACAGGAGACCTCTTGGCATAGTGAGGGCTTGCCCTATGCACACTCAAACCATCTGTGAATGTTCAGCCAGGTAATTTTTTTTAAATGTAGAAGCACTGGGTTCTGGCTTAAGCCGAATAATGTGTGGTAACTTCTAGACGTAACGAAGTGACTTACTAGCTATTATGAAGAGATTTCTAATCAAGACAGTATGGCTTCTAGCAGTCTTAAGAAAGTCCAGCAAATCTTTCTGAGGTAGCCATGAATTGACATGCAAACATCCAAATAGAAGCCTAGCACCAGGTTGATGAAATAGGGACAGCAGACCTCACAGGGTGGGCTCATCTAATGGGCCCGAAGGTTGGGGTGACCAGTGTCCAGCAGTCCAGCCCAAAAGCACCTCCAATGTATAACTTGACAGATAGGCAAATGGGCTCACGCTTTCCTTCTTCTGATTGTTCAGGCTTGCAAGGTGACCATTGTGAGGGGTATGCAAGGCAATGGGCAGAGTGGTAGGTGCCACTCTACAGATTTTTCATGCACACCTGGCAGCGGCTAACCCTGGTGTGGAGCTGCCCGGCTTTCAGTGTTTCTGACACAGGTTCTTCCCTAAACTGTTGCCTCTCCTCTACTGTCGTCAACCAGAAACTGTACTTGTTGGCAAAGTAGTGGCAGGTGCCTCGGGCACCACTACACTCGATGAAAGGAGTTGCCCGGAAATCCTCAAGGCAGGAGCCTGGGGAAACCAAAGACTGGCCTCCACCCTCGGCCCCAGTGGCAGTGTGCTGAAATAGATGACAAGGGGGTTGGTGTGAGTGGCACCTGCTGAGACCTGGCACAGGGAGGTGATGGATTCTGTGGCTACAGGGGGACACATATGCCCTGTTCCTAAGCCCTCGTCCCTTGGATCAGCCCCTGCTTCTAGCCAGCATGCCAAAAACTATGTTTTAGAGGAGCAGCTGCCCATCCTCCCTCATAGCAATTCCTCTGTACCCTCCTAACGTGTCATGCCAGTGACTACATTTCAACCAGTGTTTCCCACAGTGCTGCTTTGCCACTGAGTTTGGAGGTATGTTAGATATCCTCTCCCCCAATTTTCATGGGCAAATAAATGTGAGAACAGCTGGACTAAGGCAAATTCACCAGGTTTTGTAATTGCAGTTCTCCAACCCCTTTGCTATTGTGCCTTGTCCACTAAGCAGGGAAAGAGTGGACAGTATTCCACCACATTCATCCAACCACGGCCCCTCCCTTAGCAGCATGTCCATCAATAGCTCTGACCTGGTTGCCTCTATTGGAGCTAATATTTTCAGTCTGTGCCACACCCTTTAGGGTGATATATAGTGTTTGTTACCGGCTGAGTGAAGGAAGTCTGTGTATTTGGCCTAAATGTCTCAATCCTCATTTCAGAGGGCTCCCTCAGCATTCACTTGCAGGGCTACTTATGAGCTGACAGTTGCTGTACCCACAGACAGCAGTCCCTGTCTTCCCCTATTCCCAACTCCTCCTTCACCTCAGCTAGGTTATCATCTGAACCACAGGATGTGGGGAAGAGGCTTAATGCACACTTGTGTCAGCAAATGGCCAAAAGAGTATATGCCAAGTAGGAGTTCTTACTTGGCAGAACTCTGAGACAGTGAGAGTCTCCAGGTGACCTTTCAAGTGATCCTTCCTGAGAACTGAAGCATCAAAGTTTTCTTCATTTTGACCCCCAGGATAGAAAACTTTCTAAAACATGACACAACCCCTTGCTTTACTAAACAGAAGACACTGTACTGTAAACTTTGCAGATGACTCAAGCTTGTTATGGCAAATGTGAGGTTTTTGTGGAGGGCAATTATGTAAGGGCCCTGTACAAAAGTGTGCAGCTTATAAAACTCTTGAGCCACCTTCAAATCATTTTTTCTCTTTTCTCTTTTTTAGTTAGCATGCTCATTGTCGCAAAATGCCTACTAGGTAGTCTAAATCCCACCCTTACTGATTTTCAGGAAATATATACTTGCATATTAGAATTATATGCAAATAAGAGTAAAAGGATTCTGAATAAGAGCTAAGCTCTCCCATGAACAGAGCACATGAGATTTAGTACACAGGATTTGTGTGATTTCTTGTGGAAACTTAGGGGTCCTTTCTCCTTACTTCCTAGTCTGGGTGGTACATGGGATGGAATGGCAGGTGAGGTAATTCTCTAGTACTTCGGGATAAACTGCCAGTTGTGCAAAGGTAGCGTATTACAAGGAAGCAATATACCCCAGGTAGGTAAACTGAAGTGAGGGAGCCTGTGACTTGGAAATTGTTTAAAGGTACTCACTCCCTCACATTCTTGCCCCAGTGACTCAGCAGGATGGTCTGGATAGGCAGGCTACTTAAGTAACCACCACACTGGGTTTTCTGGGACTTGTCCTGGCTCTAAAGCCTGACTTCTCATCTGATGAATGATATTCACTGAATACCATGTGCGTGACTCCAGGCCTCTTTGGCATTACAGATGTTCTCTTTCTTAGCAAGACACACCAAATGTCTGGCCACTGTCTTCCCCTCATACCCAGAACTACCTGTCATTCATGCAGAACTAGATTCTTTGGTTTTATGCCAGGCTCCAGGTGAGCAATTCCTTTCCTTTCTAAATCTGCCTGAAGGCTGGGAGCCAGTCAGAGGTGCCCTCCCACAGCCCTGGTTCTCTGCTTCTCCACAGTGAGGGTGCAGAGTCTTACCATGAGGAAGGAGTACCCGATCCATAGGCTTCGCCAGCCCAGAGGGCACTGTGGGATGGTGATGTCCTGGCTGTGCATAGCAATGGCTTGTGATGGTGCCTCACACACAGAGCAGCGGCTGATGTACTGGGGAATCTGGGCCTGGCTGACGGGCATCATGGGAATAGGAGCAGTAGTGGAAAGCCAGTAGGACTTATCATTGCGTCGGGCATAGTGGCACACTTCATTGATGTTGCAGTAAATGAAAGGCATGGTGCTGAAGCGGGGGAGGCAGGAGCCAGCAAACCCTGGGCAGAGAGGGAGAAGGTGGGTTAGGTCCATCTGAAGGGCAGAACTACTACGACTGGGCTAGCTAGTGGTTTGGATTTACATCCAGATGCTTGACCAGACCAGGGCAGCCTTCTAGTCTTGTGACACCAACTTATAAGGAAGTCTTTAGATCAAATCCTATTATAAATGTACCAGGGAGGTTTGATAATGATGAAAATTGTTATAAACTCAATCACCCCCTATTTAATCTGCTTTGTAAAACCATTTAATAGACTGAAGCTACCTATAAGAATTAGCACACCTTTGGATAATGCAATTAACTCTTGGTGATCATCACACCCCTGCAGGTCGTGGTATTATTGTGAGTATCACTAATCCTTACCGTAGACATTTTACACCGAGTAACTCACATACTGCATACACTACCCTATGTGATAGCTACTATAATTAGCTGCATTCATTAAGGAGGAGGTAGAAACTCAGGTTGAATGACTTGCCTAGGGTACATGTCTAGGAAGTGGCACCACCATTTGAACACAGATCTGCCTGATTCCTAGAACCCCTTATACAACAGTGGACGTGAGGGACTGGGAGAAGGGAGGTGGTTAGTGTTGGAGCTTGTGGTGACAGGTGGCCTGGGTTGGCTGTCAGGGCTAGTTCTTACCCAAATCTTGGTTGTGGGCTTTCTCCTGGCCCTCCACGAACAGCAGGCTGTAACCCACCCACAGCTGGCTCATCCCGATGGGGCACAGAGGCACTTGTGCTGACTGGCTGTGCTTCACCAATGTGTAGCCCATTCTTGCGCTGTGCCCAGGCCTCCCAGGGCTCCCAGAGGGGCCTGGCTTCCCTGGAGCTCCTGAGAGGGAGACAGCATAAAACCATGCAGGCATGTTGTATGCATATGCTATTTCACTTGATCCTCATGATAACCCTGGGAGATGGTACTGTTATCAGCCAAACTGTACATGAGAAGACTGAGGCTCAGGGCTTCCATAGTCAGTAAGTGGTAGAGCTGGCATTCTAGTTTAGATGTATCCAAATAGAGTTCCCAATTTTTCCCCCAGTACTGGGAACTGAACTCAGGACCTTGTGCTTGCTGGGCAGTTGCAATGCCACAGAGCTACATTCCCAGCCCTAGAGTTCCCACTTACAAAAAGTGCATTATTGGGGTTTCTTCTCCTGGCTGGTCACCTGTCCTTGGGTTATGTATCCTTGGGGATAATGGGATTGTGGTAAGATCATTCTGAGGCTCTTACTTAAAGACTCTCATAGGAGATAGCTGCTGAACTGGAGCAGAGCTTAGGAACAGCAGTCCAAAATTTTCCTCCTCTCCTTTCCTGCCCATAGCACATGTGGCCATTGGCTTGCAACACTTTCCCATGGAACCTCAGAACTGTTTGCTACTCAGGACAACTGATCTGCTATCTCTAGTATAAAATGAAAGGTTAGCAAGAGAGGTATGGACAGAGAGACTCATCTCAAATGCTGTTATCCCTTGAACCACCCTCTTCCATCCATGTTAGAATCTCTGGGTGGAAAGGGAAAGGAGCAGGGCAGTTGGCCATGCTGTAGTGTAGTCATAGTGCTTAAAAGCTAGATGATGGCCCATAAAAAGTTTGCAACAGTCCTTTGCCTTCCAGAATGTTGGACTTCCTTTCACAGGCTCAGAACAGTATGGGGTGTCACTGGATGTCAGCCAAGTTTTTGAGCTTCCTGGGAGTGTCAAGCTCTACTGTCAGGTTGATTGACTCTCACATTCGAGTTTCTGACTCATCTCTAAGCCTCAGGCCCTCAGAGAAGCCCTCTGTCCCTAGTGTGACATCAACAAACCTTCAAATCCTGGGGGGCCTTGCAGTCCAGGGTGACCAGGATCACCGAGTGTCCCAGGCGGGCCTGGAAGCCCGCTGAAGCCATCCTTGCCAGGGATTCCAGGTAAACCTTTGGTACCTGCAGGAGAGAAAGCCCACAGGGTGGAAGAATTCAATGTAGTGGGTCCAGAAACACCCTCCTGGGAAGGAGGATGCTCAAGACTCACCCGGAGAAGGAACACTGGCTACCTAGTTGAAGCAAAGCTGGACCCTAGATGCCAGGTTTCCTGTCAACCAGCCCTTGACTTTCCCTACATCCTCATGATGCACTTTATCTGCCACCACACTCCCTCCATTTTTAAGTGGCACTTTAGAGAGGAACAAGTTGTCTGGAGGAGTGGCCATGCTCAGCTCATACATTCTCCAAAGCCAGATACAATCACTGCTGTTTTGGCTCTGCCAGCCTTCCCTTCCCTCGTCAAAAGCACAGTAGCCTTGTGAAGGAGAGGAAGTGCTGGAGGAAGGTGCCCCCCAGAACTGGTGTTCCTAGCCAGTTGCTTTTGCCTCTCAATAACACCTTTTGGTTTCCTAAGAAGTCTTCTTGCTCTGATGCCATCCTTACCTTGTGGACCAACAGGACCTTGCTTCCCAGGGTCCCCTGCAAGACCAGGAATGCCATTGATGCCTGGTAGACCCAAGGGACCAGGAGGAATCTGGATAGCTTCCACAGCTAGAGTTTTCCCAGGAGCACCTTGAAGGCCTGGAGAGCCTGTGGGCAGATGGGGGAAATGGCATTGTTAGGCTGAGGACAACAGAGGAGGAGAACAGGACAGAGCCTAAGGAGCCTTCCTTTCTGCCTCACAATCATCTGCTTTTTGCACTGTCTTCATAGTCTTCACTAGATAGCTCCAGTATGACAGTCCCTACTCTCTACACAGTGCCTTCATTGCAATTAGCTCCCAGTGGCTTGGTGGCTCTTTATGGGTAGGGACTGGGTCATATTCATCTTGACTCCCCAGGGCCCAGCACAGAACCTGGCAGGCGGTAGGCAATTAAGAAGCATCTGTTGTACTTGCTTTGGCTAAAGGAAGGAGCAATTGGCTTACTCACCATACTGGTCAGAAAATAGTACAAAGGAGACTTGGAATGTGTCCAACCCCAGAGGTTCAGTTAGCATCATAGTCTATGAGCCTGACCCCAGCCAGCTCCCTTGCTAATAATTTGCTTGCCATGTTATTTTGTGCATGCTTATTATGTAACAGTCCTGGGAGGTCTAGGAATAGAGCAGTGAGTACGATAAATCTTTATGAAGACGACTACAGTCTAGTCATAAAGATGAACAGTCCATAATTTGACAAATGCCATTATTCTTTGGACAAGTTGTGAAAAGAGTTATGAAGGAAACAAATAATTCAGTGACTGTGGGAAGGAGCATAGGACCATAGGGTGTTTTAGAAAGCAATCAGTGGCCTTTTATAAGCAGTGAAAGGTAAGCTAAAACCACTGAAATATTGGAAGAAGCTAATCATTTGAAGAGAGGAGGAATAAAGGTATTTTAAGAAGTAGAAATGACACATGCAAAGGGTCTGTGGTAGGCCAAGATGTGTTTTTTGTAACTGAAAGAGTTCAATGCTGCAGAAACACAGAGAACAGTAAAAGAGAAAGACTGGCATGAGTATGCAAACCCGGGCATCACATATGGCTTTATGGGCCACAGTTAGTTTATTTCTATGCCATAGTAGCCACTGGATGATTTATGCTCTTATTGGTCAGTATGTAGGAAAATGATTGTTAGGTGCTGGGTATGTGTGTTTGGGATCCTGCACAAGAAATTGTGGTGTCTTGGACCTTGGGGTAGCAGTGGAGGTGACATGAAGAGAGCAGATGCATGTGCATTTAGAACATGCTTCAGGGCTTGTTAGTGGATTGGATGTGTGGGACAAGGGGCTTGTAAAGAATAGATAGAAAGGTTTTTAGTTTCTTTTTTTTTCTTTTTTGCAATTTTACCAAAGCTTTTATTGCCTCTGTTGGGAGGATGACAGGGAGTATTAAGGAACACAACTGAACTTACAGAGATATGCAGATGATATTCACTAAACAGAACTTTGATCTCAAGTGTTTTTATATGTGGGCACTTCTCATTTTACATTTTACTATTTAACAAGCATTACATTTTAAAATGTATGCCTGTTCTGACATGTATCAAGAAAAGGAAACTGGTTCAACTTGAAACAAAGAATCAGCATGGGCAGTTGACCAGAATGTAGATGGAAATGCTTAGGAATTAAAGCAATTCAAGTTATGTGTATGTGTGTGTGTGTGTATTTTCCTCTCACAGACTCACATACTCTCTTACATGCACACAATGTCGCGCACGCACACGTACACACACACACACACACATACATGCTATGTGTAAGCATTTTTAGTACAAAATATTCCCTGTGTCAGACATTTATCTTTAGAATCATCACAACACATTCAGTCAGTTCTCTTTTCAGCCCTAGTAATGGCTTTGTTCAATTCTAAGATGCCATCATAGTGAACAATCTTCTTTGATGCTACATAATTATATTCAAAGCTTTATGTATTTTGTTTATAATTACACAGTAATTATAAATGTTTAGTACCATGCTGATGACAAGCTATTTTATTGAAAAGGTCTTTTGTATTTAAAAGAAAAATCTGTAAAACCCAAGGAACTAGGCTACAGCCAATACCAGATTTTTATGAAAACAATTTTTATTGGGGAAAAATGGGATCTCATTTCAAAACACAGTATACTTGAAATAATCTGAAAATAATATTGTAACTCAAAATATTTAAGACAGGAAATAAAAGTACATATATTTTTATATATTTAAAAGTTTTTCATAATTGAAAGTCCTCTTTATATTTACAAAAATGAAATCAGGGAACACTGAAAACAGCAGGATTCTTCTCTCTCTTTTTTTTTTTTTTGGTAACTAATTCCAATAACCAGAATAGAAATTTTGAAATTTTTCTTTTGTAAAATTACATTCTTGAATTAAAAGTTATGACTTGAATATTAATAAAATATCTCATCAATTTCAAAATTATGTAAATCAAAAGCAATTTTAATAGGTCATTTTTTAAAAAATCACTTCTGCATCTGCATAAAATGTACTGCTATTATGAAGTACATTCCTTTATTAATATCAATATTAGGCCTTACAAAGTACCTGGATATACCAGGCAAAATCTGTTCCTAGTAAAGACCATTGTTGTCCAAGACTTGAAGTTCAGCATTTTTAACCTTCCTTACAGAAATGTTCAAGAAAGCAATTAAGACAAGAAAGCTGTTCATGGGTACCGTAACAAAAACAAACAAGCAAACAAAGGGGGAGTTCCACACATGACAGCATTCTGCTTTGATGTGAAAACGGAGCTAATGTGAGTGAAACAAAGCAGTAGAGACTAAATAATTTACAAAGTAGAAGCCAGATTGGTATTTTTCATAAGTGTATGCTTGTTTGAAAATCTTTGTTCCTGAGGTAAATAAGGTTCTTCATCTCCGGATTGAGAAAATGAGCGGGTAGTGACCTGTGAGTAAACTCAATGCCCACTAGCCATTTCTCTGCAGAGAAAGGAGGATAAACAGTACAGACAGAGGAAGTGCATGGCAGGATCCATAGTGGCCAAGCAGCCATGACTTTCCGTACCAGTGGTTAATAGTGGAAGAGGTATCCACATGTGGAAAAAACTACCTCTCAGGATGGTGGGGCTTGTTTTAGCTGCTTCAGTCTTTGTTGGCATGGCGAGAAGTGACTCCTAAAAGCACCTAATCCCCAATCCTTACCCCTCCCTCCATCTCAGGCTCATCCCAGTGCGTGTTCCCAACTCACCTTGTAGCCCTGCCTTCCCCTTCATCCCGGGTAATCCTGGGTCTCCAGGTGGCCCAACCTTGCCTGGAGTCCCCATGAAGCCAGGTTCACCTCTCACGCCTAGCAAAGTCCAAAGGAAAGTAGGTCAGGCCTTGCTGTGATGGTGGAGGGGAGTAGGTGGTAGGAGACTAGGCAGCAGGAGGCAGAGAACAGTGCCATCAGCTGCTCTCTTCATGTGGCTGCCGGAGGGCCACTTCTGGCTGTGGAGTGGGGAAGGGCCCGGCACCCAACCAAGCAGCCATACCTTTCAGTCCTAGCTCTCCAGGGAGGCCAGAGAAACCTAGAATTCCTTGGTCTCCCTTGGGTCCTGAAAGGCCAGGAATTCCAGGGAATCCAGGGTCTCCAGGGTCGCCTTGATCTGAGGATGGCCCAGGGGGACCTGGGGACCCTTGGTTGCCTGGGCGGCCTAGGGATAAGATAAGCAGAGAGATGAGAGGGAAGTGAACAGGAAGTAGCAGTTGCTGAAGGCCTAGGAACTGATGGGAAGTTAAACCCTATTGCTAAGACAGAGAATATTTATTTGCCATCTGGGCAGTCCCAGTGTTGAGACATCCTCAAACCCTTATAGCAAAATGCAGCCAGCTCCAGTTCCCTGTATTGTGGCTGGAAGTTGGGGGGAAAGGTGGGGGTAGCCAAATAGACCCATACATATCCAGCAACAGGACCTTGCACTGTACTGCATATAGGACCTTCCTGGACACTAGATTTAATGGGTTGGCCAGTCCTTTTTGGGGCTTCCCGTCTTTACCTCGTTCTCCATCTAGGCCTGGTTGCCCAGGCTGGCCAGGCTGGCCTGCTATGATTGAAGGCAAGGAGATGCCTTGGGCACCAGGGGGGCCAGCGGGGCCTTGAAGACCTGGAAAACCTGCAAAGAATAAATAAAAGGGTCAGGTGGGCTCCACGTGTCCAGGAGAGGACCACAATCTTTCAGAGAAATTGGAAGCAGTCAGGTAAAAGCCAGGCCAGAGATCACCAACAGAGAGTTCTTCTCCCCTCATCCTTTCTTTCCACCAAGACTACAAAAGAACTGAGAAGGGCAAAGATGCCCCATTTCCAACCAGAGCTTCATTTTATTAGGATAGTGCAGCAGAAAGTTCTAGCTACCCAAGCTGGTAACAGAAATGTTTTAGGCCAATTTCCTCCAAATTGAAAGTAAATGAAGGTATGACTGAGCAGCTGGAATGTGTTCTCCATGTTCTTAAGCATACTACTGTCCTGGTGAGACCACATTTTAAATATTAGCTAATTATGGCTGATCCTGCACAAACGTAATGGATATGGAGAGATTTCAGGGCCTGTCCAAGTCCGAATGGAGATCTCAAGAGCTCTGAGCCTTCTGGTGTTTTCTAGTCTTCTGGGCTCTCTTCTGGGGCTTCTAGACAGGCAAACAGAAAAACAATGTTTCATAGGAAATTCATATTACCCAAATGGTTGCTTAATTGTCTATAGGACAAATTTCTTTGTGTCAAATGTCTCCTAACTTTTTGGCCAAAGATAATGGCTATTTATTAGAGTAGGTACAGAATACTTGTTTGCTAAGATTTTAATACTCCTTTAAATGCTGTTTGTAGAGCTACTTCTATTACACGTTCAAAGCAAAACTTTCATCCTATTATAAAGTAATTAATATTCATGTCAAATACACAGATGGTACTCTTGATGAGAAAACCCAAGCTGTGTGTACAAATATAGCAGTTCACATTATACATGTAGTGAACAAATGTATGTATTACTTAGGCATAGTCTAGAAGATACTCAGATGAAGAGAATTTGATGTATTCTAGTTGATATACTATTCTGGTTGTTGAGAATTTTTTCTGGTGAGAAGAAAATAAAAAAATTATTAATACAGAATTTCTCATCTTATATCCATCTAATGTAAACTTGTAAAGAAAAATGGTAGATTGGCTGATTCAAGTGTTTTAAAAAATAGCCCTTTTATTATTAATTGCATCTAGAGACAAAAAAGACTCAGTAATTTTAAGTCTGAAAAAGCAAAAAAAATACAAAATATACAAAAAGAAAAGCTAGTGATAAAGCCACATGGTGCTATTTATAGCACTGTCACTTATGCTTCAGTGAATCTTTGAAGTTATTTTTCTTTTCATGGAGATAAGGATCTGAAAATAAAAAATGTATCGTATACCACTTTCCTAAAAATACAGCTTAATGTACATATATATGTGTCCACATGCAGCAAAGTATGGCAAAATCTATTATAAGAGTTCCTACACCAGTTTTTGAAGCCACCTCCGCTGTTTACCTGGTTCTTGATTTTATAATTATACCAGTATATTATCAAATCTGAAATAATGGCAGTACTGACCTCAAGCAAAATCTCATAATTGATCAACAGAAAAACACTTCCAATGAGCTGATATAAACACTAAATGTCCTATTTTTCTAACTTATTTCAGGGTCAAGGTCTTGAACTACATATATAAATGCAGACTAAATATTTAGTACAAACATGAAAATCTTACTGTAATGGAAAATTATTTAACTAAAGGTATTGTGAGGACAGTGAATACTTTTTGGAATTTTCTTAAGGGTAAATCCTTGTTTTACACTGACTTCAACTTATTAAATCATGCACAGGTATATGTGGGGGCATGATACATGCTGTATTCTTTTTAAATAATTTGTTTTAATTAGTTATTGAGGGAATACTACAGAATATCTCTAAATAATATGTAAAGAATAATCCAAGCATGATGACACACCTGTGCTCCAATAACCTCATGTAAGAAAAAAGATGGCATGACCTTTGGACTTTCTTGAGTGGCCCCCTTGTAACTCTCAAAGTGGCAACCACTCCTGAATTTTGTGATCATCATCCCCTCCATTTTCATCATTGTTTGACCATGAGTATTTGTATCCCTAAACAATGTATTGGTTGTTTTAGCTCATTTTGGATGTTTATCAACGAAATCATACCAAATATATCTCCTTGTGACATGCCTTTTTTTTTTTGCTCAATATTATGTTCCAGAAATGTATGCATTTTGATATGTGATGTTTACTATATGTGTAACTGATTTTATTTCTTCAGTAAAAGGAAATGAATAATTAAATGAGCAGAAACTCATAGTCAAGATTTGTAAACATAAAAGGGAATATCCTATGTCTATTTTATTCCCTTTTCTCTATGTTCTGTGAAAGAAGCTTAATCGCGCTGCACACTGGGCCCTTCTCTGAACCCTCTGGAGAAGCTTCTGACTTTTAGAAAAAAAAGTTGGTCCTGACCAAAGGAAAGAGTAAATACAGAAGCAGCAGATGCACCAATTTGAAATGCAGCAGTAAATGAATTAATGTGTGAATATAGTTCCTGGGAAATGTATGAATATTACATAAACATAAAGAAAGTGTGATAAGACCCAAGGTCACAGAGCTACGAGGAACAGAATATTTTGCAAATATGATTTACTCAAGTTACATGCAATGATATCATGGCAAGCATTTCTGGAGTGCTTACTATGTGCCAACACCGGCCTAAGTGCTTTTATATAAATTACCTTACTCCTTATTGATTCCTCACAAAGCCTATGAACTAGGTTCTGTTATTACACCTATTTTACAGAAAATTTAAATGTGAGTTCATTTGGGTTTGAGGATAAGTTACTATTGTTCAGGGTCACATAGCCCATATTCTTTGCGACACTGCGACACTGAATCCACTTCCTGGTTTATACTGAGTGGAACATACATGGGTCCTCAGGACATTCCTAAGGAAAGTTGAAGAATGAGAATTCCTTCTTAATTTTTGAGAGATGGGAAAGAGAGACATAGAAAAAGACTTCAGGCTATGTGATGAGTCAGGGTCTGAGATTAGGGAGGAATCCGCTTTCTAATAAAGCCAATAAATCCTAATTGAGTGCACTTGGCAGTCCTGTCTTCAGGAGACATTTATTCTCATAGTCTTGGGCTTTTTCCAGCAATCACAATGTCTTCCCGGAGCCCTGGGAGCACCATCCACACTGGACGCTAGGGAAATTCTGACCACCTTCTTAAGTACACAAGCCTTAGGATCATTAAACACAGGCTCTGAGTAAGTAGGAGAGGCCTTGAAAGTAATATGGGGATCTGAAGGCTAGAGGGGACTTGGAGAACTGAGAAGTCATAGATGAAGCCTATTGCTTTTTCAGCAGCCAGTCCCCATGGGGTTCTGAGATTCCCAGAGATGTGGAGAAATGCCATAAACCACACAGCCTTGATGAATAGCAAACCTGGCTCCCCAGCAAGGCCTCATTTAGCTTCTCCAAGTGGCTTGGGCTCACTTACCTCGGCCACCTTTTTGTCCTCTTGTACCTGGATTTCCTGGAGCTCCAATGACAGTTCCTGGAGTTCCCTTTTTCCCTTTGGGACCAGGCAGGCCAGCAGGCCCAGGCACACCAGTGATACTGGCTCCTAGGAGACACAGAGGGAGGTGACAGAGCTCAGCACGGGTGATGTAATTTGCTCACTTGCCTTTGGCTGCAAGCAGATCTCATTCAGGCAGAAAGATGAGCTCTACCCTCTTTCCCCCTCATATCAAGGAAATTCAAATTGAAGGAGATATATGAGTCCAAGAATGTGGGATATACCAGACTCAAGAACTCATGACCAGTCTGTTCTAGGTTTCTGAAAGAGCTTGTGTCCTCCTCCATTCCCTCGAGGGTCTTTATTACCTGGGGTGCCACGGGTACCCTTGGTACCTGGAAGGCCATTCAGTCCATGTAAACCAGGAGATCCAGAGAATCCTGAGAGTGAAAATAACACAAAATGGCCCCACAAACTCTGAATCATGAAGAGTTAGCTCACAAAGGCACTGCATGGTATTTATTATAAAGACCTGGTCTTTCTTGAGGCATTACTTAATGCCCTGTGGGTAAATAGCACACTTATATCCTATACCTAACACCCTAGGTTCATATCATTTGTACCAGAGATCAATATAGATTTAAGAGTGGGATGGCAGCTAATTAGTTATCTTCAAGAAGAACTCAGAGTGTCAGTGCCAGAACCTTGAGTTGCCAGCTCTCAGAAAATTGTTCTAGAAACTTGCTGCCCAGTCTCTAAGTCAAGGAAAGGCAGTACTGAAGGGCAGTAACATTCTGCTAAGACCTGGACATGGTCTGAGTGTATCCCCCAAGTGTTCATGTGGTAGAAGCTTGGTTTCCAGTATGGTGATGTTAAGAGGTGATGAGAACTTTAAGAGGTAAAGCTCAGTAGAAATTGATTGGGTCATCAGAGACACTGTCCTCAGAAGAGATTAAGGTAGTTTTCATGAGATCCTGAGTTCTTGCCAGACTGAACTGTTAAAAAAAAAAATACAAAACTGGCTCTTCTCCTCTCTCTGGCTTCTTGTCTTGCCATGTGGGCTCTTCTTTTTGTACCACAATGGCATCTCCTATGAGGTGACATAGTTGGGAGGCTCTCACCAGAGCTTGAGCCATGCTTTTGGATTTTCAGCCTCCAAAACTGTGAGTTAAATTTAAATCTTTTCTTTATAAGTGTTCAGCTTCAGAGATTTTGTTATACTAATGCAAAACTAATTCACACTTCTTGGTTACTCGTTTCCCCATGGATCCCATATTCTTCTTTTTCTAATCATGCTTGCCCACCTTCCTTCCTCTTCAATTCTCCTTTCCCATTATTCCTCATGTAGCCCAGTCAGTGACTCCCCTGGACATAGCTTAACCCTACAGTCTTCTAAGATAAAGGAGGTGCTATCTCTTGTCGAGAGAGAATGTGTTTCTGTGCTTTCTGCTCTCAAATACACATACCTTTGGGTCCAATTAAGCCAGAGGGTCCCAGGGGCCCAGGGGTCCCTGAATGACCAGAGGAACCTGGAAATCCTGGGTCTCCTCTGATACCTGCGATCCCTGGAAGTCCTAAATGTGAAATCAAGAAGGAAGTTCAGAATAGGGGATGGCTTGAAGTTAAACCTAACTTTCTTTAGAATGAAGTTGTCATGTGGCATGGTACCTGGGGAGCCAGGAAGGCCAGCATCTCCAGAAATACCAACTTTCCCATCTTCACCTTTGTTTCCTGGGAAACCAACATCACCAACCAGTCCATCTTTTCCTTTAACACCTATAAATTAAGACAAATGCTGAGTGGTCAGACCATGTTTTTGTCAGTGTGTTCATCCATGGGAATGGATGAGGAGGAAGGTGAAACCCTTTTGAACTGCTGAGGGGGCCTGATCCAGTGAAGAAGCTCTGAAAAAGATTGTCCTGGCTGTCTTCACATTTGGAAGATACTATGCAACAGTAAGTAGACTTGTTCTGCATACATTCCAGAAGTCGGGGCTATGGATTGAAAGGGTGGAGAAGCACACTTTTTTCTGCACTGGATGAAGTGGCAGCACTTGGGGTTGGCCTCTCAAATGTCTTCTAATACTCAGTTTTGAAGAGTCTATGAGGCACATGCGACAGAAGCATAGTATAGTCTTACCTTTAATACCAGGTTCACCAGGTTGTCCCTTGGGTCCTGGGTTACCAGAAATTTCAAGCATCTGGCCCTGATCACCTGGTGATATCAAGACATTGTTTAAATGGTCAAGAGAATCTGTAGTTCATTTTGTTCCAAAGAGATATTTTAATCATTTTCTTTCAGATTCAATATAGCCAGCAGACCTCCTTGCCAAAATGATCCATTGGGTGAAAAGTGACCAATCACTGTTTAGAAGCTGAGATGCTACCAGAGTACTGGTATGACATACTGTTACACATAGCATATTTCCATTGGGAATGACATCACTCAGTATGTGCAGGGAATGTGGTAGGTAGGGCCTGAAATATCACCAGAATGAAACAGTGATGCCAGAGAGGGTGGAAAACTTTTTAGCCCAGTGGTCTGGATTAATCAGGGGATGATACTATGTGAAGCTGGGGTTTTCTTCTGCTGAGTTTGGAAATCAGATGGGTTAAATTACCATGCCAAAGAACAGCCTTTTTCTTGAATCTGTGAAAGCCCTGAAGAGATCTTGATATGTACCGCTGTTTACTGCATCTTCTTTGAGGAATAAGGATTGTAGAAGGGGTTGGAAAGGGGAAATGTAAACCAATTCACTTTCTCTTAAACACAGAGTCTCCCTCTAAGAGAGCCCTGGGCCTGCTGTAAATCGATCTTGCTCTAAAAACACAAATTAATAGAACAAGTGCTCCTTACCTTTTGAGCCTGGGAGACCAGATACTCCTGGGAGTCCGGGAGTCCCAATGAGACCCTGTGAACCCTTCAAAGCAATATGAGAATCGTCATTTCTGCCCAGAGCCCAGAGCTTTCCACCATCTCACTCCCCCTCCATTTCCCAAGCTATTGCCTGAGAGATGTCTATCATATACTCTGTATCAAGGTAGACTGTATAGGAGTGAGGTGGTTACATTCGGCAAATAGGAAGATGATGAGCCAGGGAACATAGTATACTGAGGGTTTCTACTGGAAGGATTTTATCTGCCGATTCACCTTTGTCTTGTCATTCATGACTGCCCATTGTTTATAAAAACTGAAGCCTTGGCAAATCAAAGTTTGGCTGCTTCAGCAAGTCTCTTAGAAAACGCAGACCATGATAGGCCAGGCACTCAGTGTGCTCTTCAGTCAGCTACCACCATGCTTGCCAAAGCCCTAGAGAGTTATACATAAATATTTCTTCCCCATGCAGGGCTAGTCCTTTGCTGCAGGTTCCACAAGAAACATGAGGCTCCTTCTGCCACCAGGTAGGTAATGGCCAGTGTTGGAGTCTGAATATGGACAAATGTTGCCTTTTTCACAGGAAAAAGTGCCTTCACAGGCTAATGTCCAACACACTATCTGACTCTGAGAAGTGGGCCTATCAGCTTCTGTCAGCACAGTTTTTCTAGTGTGAGTTTGATTCATTTGGATATGTACCCAGTATAGGCACATGCCATTTAGCGCTTCTGGCAGGAAGCTGAGTACAGGGCTGGGTCACTGTACTCACTGGACCACCACCCAGTTCCACTACTTGCCCCTATCCCATTCTGCCTGCTTCCTTGCCCGCCTTCATCTGGCTTGTTGCAATAGTTACTCCTAATTATGAGCCTCTGTCATACTGCGGCCCCTCACAGAATTCCTTCCACTTTGATTCCATCCTTCCTAATATACCATGTGGGTATATTAAGACCATTCAGTCTAAAACTATATTGCAGTTGCTTTAGAAATGTGTGTATGTGAATTCTCTCCACCAGATGGACTGACACTTTGGAAGGACAGGGTCTTTGCCTGCAGAGAGCACAGGCATTCTTTGTCTAGCTCTTTTAGATGTTTCAATACTGCTACTATTTATGCAGAGCTTGTCATGTGCCTGACACAATGCTAATTGCCTTACATATAGCATCTCAATACGCACTACATCTGAAAAAGGTTTGAATATTATTCCCATTTTATAAGAAAAATGAGACTCAGAGAAGTTAATGTGCACAAGATCACAGAGCTAATGCATGATGGAGTGGAGATTCCAATCCAAGTCTTTTGCTAAGCCTACTACATGCTGCCTTTTAAGAATCTGGAAAAACCAGAGTTGATTCTTTGCTAGTTATTTCCCCTGTAGATCTTCAAAGATCTCTCTATCAAAACATCAAAAAGTCTGAACTGAATTTTTATGATGTGCTTAGCTCAATATGAGATGCTGGCAGTGGGATGCAGACGAAAAAGCATGTAAGGTAGTTCTCATTCTTAAGCCCTAGCAATCTTATCAAGGAAGTCAGGTCCTGGAGAACCAGATAGATCAACAGAAGTGGTGATAAGTGAAGAGTGTCAGCACAGTGGCAGCTGAGAGACTTCTGAGAAAATGGTGCCTGGGCTGGGGCCTAAAGTCCAGCCAAGTATTGACAAATTCAGAGGAGGGTGGAGGCTCTGTCATGTGGGAGAGCTAATGTGAATAATGGCAGAGAAAGTGGGTGTTCAGGAAAGGATGGACCTGTCAGATTCAGGGAGTGGGCTTTGGTTGAGGATACTCTGGGGGAAGAGGCTAAGATCAGAAAGGTAGGCACTGGGAGGCATATCCCTCTGCTATGGATGCCCTTTTCTGATGAAGAGACAAGGATCTGGGCACACTTACACTTTCTCCTGGCATTCCTGGAAAACCTGTGATTCCAGAGGAGCCCTTCAGACCAGGTAAGCCCTGCAGCCCCATGGAGCCAGGGAGACCTGGTACCCCACTAAGCCCTTTGATGGTGCTGGGGAAGCCAGGAGATCCAGGCAGGCCCGGTGACCCTGGATGCCCAGCCTTTCCTTTGTCACCTGGGAAAAAAGAAAAAAGACTTAGAAAAAAGACTCTAGGTGAGAAAAAACCTTGTTCAGGTGTAGGTGACCTGAGTCAGGCTAAGTATAAGCTAAGGGGTGGAGAAAGTTAGCTTGTGTGGGCAAGGAGGTGCCGTCAGCCTTATAAGGGACTGTCAAGGTCATCCCTGCTCTAGCATTGGGCAGTTCAATGTGCTAACCCCTCTAAGTGGCATGATTTTCCAGGAATCCCACAAACTGTGGCTCAAAACCTCAATTCCATTGTTGCAATGGCAAATGGCAGTCTCAAAGTCCAGGCACCTGCCAGGCCTGGAAAGACAGCATCCGTTAACCCTGTGCTGCTACCCCACATTGCTGCTCTATGGGGCCTTTTCTCAGGATGTAAGTGAAGTCTGGTTGTAAACCTTTTCTTGGGCATTTTCTCCAAACCAATCTCTGTCTCATCACCTCTGGGCCCAGGAAATCCGTCTGATCCAGCCGATCCTTGAGAGCCTTTGTCTCCTTTGAACTGTAGGCTCAGCATTGGAGATCTTGCACTGGGTACTCCAACTGGGCCTGGATCACCTCTGTCTCCTGCAAGAATGATGAGAATGGAGAGCAGTCAATAAATGAGAGAGGGCGGAGGAGCAGGGGAGAGATTTGATACAGAGTCAGGCAAAGGCTGAGCTTTATATTGTTTCTTTCCACAACACCTTCTCTTTCTGGGCCCTTCCATCTTCTTTCCTTCCCCATCCTCCCAACTTTGCATTTCTGTATATATATTCTTTTCAAACCCAAAGTCCACCTAAAACTTTAGTCCCTACTGAAAACCTTCCTCTAAGGAAAATCTGGAAATGTACAGACAGAGCCTCTGTTATTGTTTGTCCTCAAAGGCTGTGGATTCTGGTCTCTCCTTCTCCTTCTCTTTATCCTCTCCATTTTGCTTCCTGGGCACCATGAGGTGAGCAGCTTGCTCCATCGCATGTGCCCTGCCATGATGCACCACCTTTCTACAGGCCCAAAGGCAAGAGGGCCAAGTAACTGTGGAATTAAACCCCTGAAGCTTTAAGCCAAAATAAATCTTTCCTCCTTTATAAATTGTTGGTCTCAGGTTCTGTTATAGTAATGAAAAGCTACCATAGAAAATTTGTACGGTAAATGGGCTATTACTATGATTATACCCAAGGCAATGTGGAAAATCCTTTGCAATTGGCTTATGGGAAGAATTTGGAAAAGTGTCAAGGAGTGGGATAGAGAAAACGTAGAATGTTAAAAGTTGAGCATAACAGGTAATTCTGATAGAGGTTTAGAAGCCTAGAATGCTTACATAATTATAGATAGTGGCTATGATGATGAAATTTCTAACAGGAATGATGACTTTATTAGGAATTGAACTAGAGGCCTTATTTATTATATCATGGAAAAAATTGTTGCCTTATGTCCATACCCTGATACTTTGTGGGATGCTGAACTTAAAGGTGGCAAAGTAATTTAGCTGGCAGTGGAAATTTCAGGCAACAAAGCATTCACATAGTGGCATGGGTATTACTGCATGCTTCTAGCCAAATTTACTGTGAGAATCACAGGCAAAGAGGAGCACATCAGAACAATTTCGAAAACTTTCACTTTGGTCAGAAAAGGAGAGAATTTAAAGGTACTGCTAAGAAAGGTGTAGTTCTTAAAGAGATTAGTGCTATTAAAAAGAAGCCAATTACTTTGCACTGAGGCAACAGGAAAGATACCTTGAGGTTATGTCAAGAATTGACAAGAAAAAAAAAAAAAAGAATTGACAGAATCCCATCCATCCCCCATCACAGGTTCAAAGATATAAAAATATAAACTTGGTTTCAAAGTTTCCTTTAAGAGAGACTTTTTAAGAGAGTACACAGGTGCCCTGTATGGACAAGGCAGCCTAGACAATTGTTTCCCTATGTTCAGCTGTGCAGGAATTCAGAAACTGCTGAAGTTGTGGTTAGAGCTGACCCAGGTATAGCTCACTTTGATGGCAGACCTTGGCATTGTCCATATGATGCTGGTTTTGCAGGTGCACAATGTAAGAGCTATAGGGTCATGGAGGCTTCCAACAACATTTCAAAACAATGTTTGGGAGGCCGGGCAGCATCAGGGTGATGTATGGAGGCTGTGAGACTGAAAGTGAACCTGAAATGGAGTTCCCACAAAGTTGGAGGTGCCAGGAATAGGAAATGTCTACTGAGGAAAATTAAAGGCAGTGAGTAGAGCCAGCCAAAGCCAACCCAATTGGGTGGCAGCCAGCAAGTCTAGAGGGATGGGGCAGCCCAAGCCTTTGGGAATCCATATTCCATCACAGGCTGTCCATAATGCTGGACATGGTACTGCATTAATGTTTGCCCAGTTGGATTTCAGTCTCGGCTTGGTCAGGTCTTTCCTTTCTATGGCCCTAGTCATCCCTTTTTGAACTTGAATGTTTACATTGTGCTATCGTATCTTGGAAGTATGTAACTTGTTTTTTTATTTTTGCAGAACCTCACAGATGAGAGTTTTCCTTGTGTCCCAGAGCAGACTTTGGATTTGGACTTTTGTGAAATGCTGAAAGAGTTCACTTTCAAGAGTCTTATGGTAGGACTACATACATTTTGCATTGTGAGATTGACATGGGCCTTGTGGGACAGATTATTATGGTTTGAATTAAGTCCATGTATTGAAAGCTTGATCCAGAGCCCATGGAACACTGCAAAGTGGTGAAGGCTTTGAGGTGGGCTTAAGTTAGGTCAGTGGAGGCATGCCCTTGAAGAAGCTTGTGGGGCTCTGTTCTCTTCCTCTTTTTCTCCCTTTTTTGATTTTCAGTTGCTATAAGGTAAACAGCTTAATCCACCATGGACTCCCTGCCATGATATGCTGCTACAGGCATAAAGGTAATAGGGCCAAGTGACCTTAGACTGAAACCTCTGAAACTATGAGCCAAAATAAATCTTTATTCCTTTTAAGTTGATTTTCTCAGGCATTTGTTATAATAATGGAAAGGTGACTAACATAGCCTCTAACATGCAGTGGTTTTGTTTTGGGTTTTGTTTGTTTGTTTGTTTTTTGAGACAGTGTCTTACTGTGCAGTTCAGGCTGGCTTTGAACTCACAACAATCTTCCTGTGTCAGTCTCCCAAGTGCTGGGAATATAGGCATGTGGCACTACACCCAGCTAACATGCAGTGTTAACTCAGAATGATTAGTTTTTTTTGTTCAAAGGGACTTAATTCAGTAGTCTCACATCTTGTTATCTAACATAGGGTTGGTAAAAACCACAGTAATCAACAAATCAATAAGCAATTATACATGTAAAAGCAGTGGTGGCAGTTCCAGAATTTACTTCTTCTACTCACCCTTTTCACCTGTATTTCCAGCATGTCCAGATGTTCCCACTTTTCCAGCTGATCCAGGAATTCCCTTTAATCCACTTGCACCAGGAAAACCAGGTTGACCTTGTATTCCTGGAAAACCTACTAGTCCAGTGGACCCCTTCTCACCTGATGAAAAACAAAATTTCCATTACTTTATGTGTTGTACATATAAGGAAACAAATTGAAACTCAGAAAGGTAGAACTACTTGCCCAATGTCAGACAACTAAGATATTTCAGAGAAGGGATTCAAACCCAGGTTTCTCTTATTCTAAAGTTTGTCACTACCAAGTCCTTAAGTCATTACATGTTATATTATCCCTCTGAATGGGGATGTGTCATTAAGCAACACAAAGGAAAGACCTCGGCTCCTCTCTTAAGATTCACCAAGGCAGAGCTCATGTGTGGTGCAGAAAAACCAAACCGAACCAAACCTAGGACTAAAAAACAGGGAGATGGAGCTCTAGCCCAACTCTGCTGATAGCTGGTTGTGTGGCCTTAGACCAATCACTTTCCCCTGTTTAAAACAGAGATGCTACTTGCCTAAACCACTGATGATTCTCAGGGAGAGCAATCATGGGAAGTGGGAGCTATCAGGCTTCAAGGCAAATGTCATGCATATGAGCAAGCTCAATGTAGCTGTTTCTGCTTGGGTTTTTCTGGCCATGGTGTTCCACCCAGTAAGCAGGGTTTCTGACAAACTTTTGGTGGGAGTCTTCTTTTAATACTAGCCCTGTCCAACAGTCTTGCCACAGAGAGCCTGAGAGTCTTGGCCACCTCCTTCCCTGTGGTCCATTCTCAGGCACAGAGAAGGGGATGAGCCAGGCAGTTGGGATACTCTTTTTGTTTATATTAATTGGTCACTTCATTGGCCTTCCTGATCACTTCACTTACCCTTTGGACCTGGAAGGCCTGGCAACCCAGTAACTCCTGGCAAGCCTGGACTTCCCAGGATGCCAGTTACCCCAGTGGATCCAGGAAGGCCTTTCATCCCAGGTAGACCTCTTTTTCTAGTTGATCCAGGGAGGCCTTTCTTGCCTTTTGGGCCTTTTTTTCCAGGATATCCTGAATTAGCATAGGAGAGAAGAGAGGACAGCTGTTAAGCGAAGTTCTTTCCAGATCTGGACAACTGCTTATTCCCATAGCCTCAGGTTGGTTGGCTTGCTGGGCTTGTAAATGGCCTTTTAACCATTAATGACATATACAGTCTGCTAACAGACAGAGTTCTTAGCTGGCTGAAATATTAGCACCTACCGCCTGGAGTGCCATGCCAAATGGCTATTACTTCCAGCATAGCACTGTAGTTGGAAGTAAAAGAAACTCCTTTGTTATCATAACTTCTCCTTTTATGAATGTGGTTCATGCTTTAGCTTCTAAATAGAGCTCTTGGAAGCCAGGGTGGCAACTGGGCTCCAGTTTCCCAGTACTTCCACTCTGAATCACACTACAATGCCTGTTTCCTGGGCCAATAGTTGAAGTCTAGGTTAAAGCTGAGCTGCTGTTTCAGCCTCCCAGGGAGCTTTGGATACAGGGCTGCCCTTTTAATCCCCCAAGCAAGCAGTTAAGTCAGCCAGTTCCTTGGCATTAAGGTTGAAAGACCCCCTAGTGCCAAGTACTGTAGAAACCCACAAGGCTCATTTTATCTCCTAAGTATTCTGAGCTGTCTTTTACCACACTTAAAATTGGTCAATAGGATTAACCTCCTGAGCTGCTGCCAAAGTAGAATGTTCAGGTACAAAGCAAGGGAATTAAAAAACCAAAGGATTAAATCAATGAGAACAGAGGTATTTGGGCCCCCAAGGACCTAAATGAATGGCTGATTTAGCTTTCTATGGAATGAAAAGCATCAAGTAGCTGTGAGCCTCAGCATTCCAATGGGAGGCTGTGACAGAAGATTCCACAACAAGGGAAGGAAATTCAATGGGAGCCAACTCCACAGCATGAGCTCAGGGATCCCTGGCCTTGTAAGCAAGGCCACGTTATAGTGTATAATCAGATAATTCCCTGATGGGGTTTTAGTCTGTGAGCTTCTGTGCTGTATTTTTTTCACCCAGGCAGCCTAAGTGAAGACTCCAGAAACACAAAACGACAAAGGTGATAAAAAGGATATTAATGGCTCTGCAAATAACTCAATATCAGTGTCTGGGCCAAGAGTAGAAAGGGTGGTGAAGTAACTGAGGCAGAGTGAGAAGGGGAGAGCAAGAAAAAGGCAGGTTGCAACAAGGGGAGTTAGGCCCCACCACTGAGTAAAGCCAATTTCTGACCATCAGTCCTCAGAGGCACATTTGCTGAAGAGGCGGGATGCTGGGATGATCATATTCTGCTCAAGCTTCTTTACAAGCCAAAGTGGACTGACTGCCTATGGCCCCAGAGAAGGCAGTGGAGATGGGCTAAACCTGGAGAGGGGCAGCTTCTCTAACTGTGGAATGCAGGAAATAGGCCAAAGTACGAAAAGGGGCCATGAGGCCATGGGGGAGGGGTGGGAAGAGATATGCCATATTTTGGAAGCTGGATTGCAGCAATTTGTTCTGCTTGGCACTGCCAGGGTGACTTGAAATTTGAAACTTGAGAGGTTAGGAAAGTCAAATATTCTAAATTTTGACCATGTCTTACTGCTGCCATTGCTCCTCAGGATGCCTAGGCCCAGGTCCATCAAGCTGGGCCTCTCCTTTTGTGGACCTACCTGAAATTCCTCGAAGACCTGGTACTCCTTGGAGCCCAGATTTGCCTTTGATGCCATGCAGACCAATAGACCCTGGGGGGCCTGGATGTCCCTCTTGTCCTGATGTTCCAGGGCTGCCCTGGTCACCCTTTGGGCCTAGCAAGCCAGGCTGCCCGTGTAAACCTAATAAAAGGGAGGGGTCAGATGATCACAGCCTGGATCAACAGCAGGAACTGGGTCACCAAACCAAACCAACTTCCTGCAGAAAAGATTGGCCTAGGATTCATTTGTCTCTACTCTCAGCTCCAGCCTTGTTGCTATTCCCAGCAGTAAACCAGAGACTGCAAGAAATTTGATGATTAGTTATTGTCAATATGACAGGAAAATGGGTTTAGGACATTTAAGAAAGATCTTCCCCAAAGAAGGACAGAACAACATGATATTTTATTTTAACTCTACAAATAATCACTTATCTTAGATTCATATAAATATTCACACAAGTATACCAGTTACTGTAAGGCTTTCTGTTGATGGTTAAATAAGTGGGGCAAAAGAGTCACCTGTGGGTCCTTGAGGGCCAGAGTCTCCAGGAAATCCTCTGTCCCCTGGCAATCCCTGTAGGCCTTGAGCCCCAGAAGCACCATTTTCAGCATCAAAGATGTCACCAGGGGCTCCGTTAGAACCTGGTAAACCTGGACTGCCAGCCTTCCCAGGCAAGCCATCTTTTCCAGGAAGCCCAGGAAACCCAGGCAAGCCCTTCTCCCCATGAGGTCCAGAAAACCCTAAATTTAAAGAGGCAAAAAAAAAAAGCCATGAATATTTAGAAGCAATCTGTTTGTGTATCGATCTGAGACAGAATTTTCTAATATAAAAGCTAACATGTTAATAATGGTCAGGGGTCTCTGGTACTGGGAGGACTTGTACAGAGGCAAGAACTGCACTATAAGACCTGGGGAAGGTTCTACTTTTATTAGGCTAGCTACGGGCAGTATTCAACCTGTTCCTGTGCTCAACAGGTAGTGAAAAGCATAGATTATACCTGAGCTTTGGCAAAAGCTCAGTCTCTCCTGGAGTTGTCTAACTTCTGCTGTCATACCTCCCTCTTCTATGGTAGGGAAAAGATGTGGGGAAAACTGAGGAACCGATAAACTCTGGGGCACATGGCCAGAGTTGAGCCCGAAGCCCTAGAGCAGTGGTGGTTCAGAATCACCTGGGGTAACACACAGATTGCTGGCCCCAGACCTTCGCATTCCTGAATACAAGTCTTGCAGAGAGGCTGAGAATTTGCATTACTAATAAGCTCCCAGGTGATGCAGGTACTGTCCCAGAGAACACATTTTGAGAACCACTGGAGTGGTGTAGCTCCGTGAAGCTTAGGTTAGAACAACAGTGTGTGAGAAAAGGCATAGGAATGGACAACTTCCTTTTGACTGATCTGAATCTTTCTTTGACCTTTAAGGAGTTGACCCAGAAAACTGACAGAGCTCTGGTAATCAAGTGACCTGGCAGAATTCTGCTCACTCGTGACTTTGTGATCTTGAGTAAGTCACTTTCTGTCTTGGCTTCAGTTTCCCTATATGAAAGTTAAGGATTTGTTCCAGCTGATACTGAATGGCCATTAGTGCTGCGATATGTTGTCATTCTATGACTGTATGCTGTCTTCCCTGGGTGTGAAAGCAAACCATCCCAACCACACCAGAGGGAAAAGTTAGCTGTCTGTCACCGATGGAGGATGACTACAAGCTACACACAGGCACACAAAGGAGAAATGGGTGAAGAAAACCTTTTTTTCTTACCTGGCAATTCAGGGAAATTAAGTAATCCTGGACTTCCAGGCTCTCCTTTGTTTCCACTAGATCCAGGCTGTCCTGGAGTCCCAGGGAGGCCGCGGACCCCTTTAGGTCCTGAAAACCCAAATATAAGTAGTGAAGGAAAAGCAAAGTCAGTGCGTCTGTGTATGATTTGTGATGTTCAGTCAATAATTTTAGTCTGTTGGAGGGCCTCTCCTATTCTCACCTACTTGCACTGCCCTCCCCAGCAGTCATTCTGTTCCCTCAATAACCAAGTGGACCTCAGGAAGAATGTGAATCCTCAAATGCTGCTGGGACAGACTTTGTTTCCTCTGGCTCAGGGCCCTTCAAGTGTGCCCAGTGGCTTTCTCTAGTCTCATTCCATACCTGGGAATCCAGGAGCTCCTGGTAATCCTGATGGACCATATGACCCAGGAATAATACAAGGCAAGGTGATTCCTGTAAATGGCAAAATGTATGTATCAGGTGAATCTACTGAGTCAGGGACAATTTCCCCCTAGTAGGCTCCTTTAATGGGATTCCATTTAATGGGATAACCAAATTCTCCCCACTTAACAGCTAGGAGTCCACACAAAAATCTTGGCACCGGAAGCTCTTGGGAATTACTACCAGTGTCTCTGCTTAAGGAAGAATGTTCTTAGTAATAAAATGCCAGGACATTTCTTATCAAACCATCGATGCCCTCTGGGCAAGCAGTCACCTGAACAGCAGGTGCTACCTAACTAGGAATAATAGCAGACAGAAATTGTCTACTCACCCTATGCTTAGACAGAGCCTCTCCCTAAGATGAGAGAGGGTCCATTATGCCCACATTACTAGATTGAAGAATTTGAAACCAAGACCCCTCAAGTACATGCCTACCATTTTATTAAAATGAAGCTCCCCAAAACACTGGCTTTTTTGAGATAGAATTTATTTGGGGTCTACTGAAACCTATTGATTATTCTTGGTCAGATAGACATATATGTCTATATCAGGCAAACAATGAAGGACCACTCTCTTGGCCATGAAGAACATGGTGGCCCTTCCCTCAGTTCCTAAAGTAAAACTGTCACCTCTGCTATTCAGAAAGAAAGGATAGTCAGTTTCAGTATTTAGGATATCAGAATTGGCATGAAGAATCCTTCCCCTGGTAAATTCTTCCTTGCTCATTCATAATGCAAATCAAGAGAGTCTATAAGATCACAGAGCAGGAGTTTCTTTTTTTCTTTTTGGAGTTTAATAAAATAATGGTGAGCAAACTGTTTGTTGGCTCCCTCAAGTGTCATTTACAAACAATTGCTATGCTAATTAAAATTAGTCTTGCCTATTCATCAAACAGTTCCCCAAGGTCCAAGGTCGGCTTTAAACCACAGAGTCAATAGTACTAATAAACAGCTATAGCATTTTTCTGTATTTAAAATAAGTCACAAATTGCATTTCTGAAAAATATGTAGACAGCCTGTGATTTAGACTGCTTAATCAGCTGGTGGGCATTTCTCTAATTCTACTTCTGTTTTCCAAAAATCTCACTTGTTTATTCCTAAATCAATAATGAGAATTGAACAGTATGATACAGTGGCTATCCTGGGCTCTGAAGCCAGACATATTTGAGCTGAGCTGGTGTCTTAGTTCTGCTAATAACTACTTGTGTAGACAAGATACTTAACTTTTCTAAGCCTCATACATAAAATGGGAACCACCTAACTCATTTTGGTGTCTGTGAGGATTATATGCAACAGTGTTAATAGCACTTAGCAGAGTACCTAGTATCCTAGTATATGCTCAATGAATTACAGTTCTTATCTTATTTAAGGAGCAGCATTCAAAAGAGCTCCTACAAGGCTATTCCGGTTTCTGGCTCAGTCAGGTTAGTGACACTAGCTTGTACTCCTGGCATCAATTTTCTGCCTTCTACGTATCAGATTTTTACACTCATATTTCTACAAGTCGAGAAATGGATATAGGTTTGGGTCCTTTTCCATGAGTGGGCATACTTATCTTTGTCCTTCCAGACATTGAGATGTTAGAGCTATTTCTGATAGCTATTGCTCTACTAAGGAAATGTGCTTTATAAGCAGGAACCTCGTGTTCAGATGCTTCACTGGTAGAGAGATTCCAAACTTGTGCTCTGCTTGGGTCTTGGGTTTGAACTAAGCCAAAGAACTGCCTCTGTAACTGGTGTCATGAAAGTGCCCTGCTCAAGAATCTCCTGCCCCCAATCATCTCAGTAGCTCATTGGCTTCAATATGTTAAACTCTTACCATTACAGTTCTACTGGTTTATGTATATTTTAAGAAACAAATTGGGTAAAATACAAATATTTGTCCAAATGAGCTTTGTCCAAATGTGCTACCCATCCCCAAATGAAGCTAATCATTCCTGATTTATCAAATGGGTTTCATAGATACATTCCTCTGTGGCCCCCAAACCAAAATAACGAAGCCTTTAAAAGATGATGGGGCTGAAGGAAGGCTTCTGTTCCAGGATAATCACCCTTCTCCAACAGGGGTTCTGGTGTGATGTTTGTGAGTGTGGAGAAAAGTGAATAAAAAGGAAGAGGCATGTGGCCAACACCAGTATCTGAGAACCTGTAGCTAGTTCTAACCTCCCTTTGTGTCTAAGTATCCCCTTTATCAACCTTTCCCCTGCAACAGCAATCATATAGATTAACCAAATAAAGAACTGGAACAGAAGTTTATTGAGGCCAAGGGAAAGTCTTGTCTGCAGCCCAGATATGACTGCTAACCACATTCATGGTCTGGATTGAGTGGAGAGGGCTGGCCCCCACACAGGATCAAGCACACAGTAGCCGCTTCAGTAATAACCAGGGTGATCGTTTACTGTGATTATCTGGAGTTAGAGCCTCTTTGGAAATAGTAGTTGGCTTGCCCACGGTTTGTAATAATTCATACTTGTAGGATAAAAGGTTTCTGATGATTACGTTCCCTTTTTAGGCAGTGCTGCTTGTCATAGCCTGGGGTATCACTGGAAAGTTATATTTGAGGAATTATGCCTGGTTACCACAGAGAAAAAAAAAGAAATGGAATGGCTGTTTTGAAAGTTTTGGCACTGTAACAAGGACATTTTCTGCATAAGATGTCTTCCAAACTGTAGCATACTGTAGTAATACATTCCTGAGATCTTTCTTTTTCCAGGAACACGTGAAGTTTAGAAAAGAAATGATCCCATAATCTTCCTTCTGTTGACATACTTTATTCTCAAATAGTTGGAATGTTGATAGCATGCAGAAAATTTCAGGGAATGTGAGTTTATAGGTGCCAGGTTATTGTAACTCAAATTATGATCTAATTTCCTGAAAAGTATGTTGACCTGCAGTGAAGACCCATCAATTAGCAGAGAGGCAGTGGAATGACCACGAGTAATCTCTCTGGAAACAGAGATGGAAGCAGAGCTATAGCTGATACCAAGGCATCCAAAAGGGAGACTGATATTGTTTGAAAACATTTCTCACAGCTTTCCTTCTGACCTGGTTTTAAGAATCTTGAATGATCAAGTGTTAACCTGTACCATCAGGCTTATTACATTGGCTCACAGAACTAGATTTTAAAATAGATAAAAAGTTACAAGACCTGCTACCTTGTCTTCTTTTTTTTGTAGTTCTTGTTTTTATTGAGTTTACTGGTCCATTTTAGGTATACAGTACAGCTACATTCATTATTGGGCTCTTGTACCTTTACATGACAGGTCTTGGTTCTCATTTCTTCCCCTTGTCCCTGCCCTCCCTTCACCCCCTCCTCCCTTCCCCCTATGCAAACACTTTATTTCCATTTTTTCATTTTCTCATATTTTTTTCTTTTCCCTTACTACCTTTCCCCTACCCTTCCCTACACCTTTAGACCCCTTTTTTGGGTAATTCTTGAAGGTGAGTAGGTGGATAGAGGAGAAAGAAACCTAAGAAATAGTCCTTTGGTTACTGGGAAGACCCTTTCTATTGCAAGTAAATAGTACTCTTTTATGGACATTGTACTATCCTGGGCAGAAAAGCAAAGTATTAGTACTCATCTTCCCTAGGATCTGAGACTTTCAATGAAGTTAGGAAAAGTAAAAGTATTAATGGACGGAGATACTTAATTTAAGTAGCAGTGACATACTGTGGAGGTCAAGGGAAAGCTTAATAGAAGTTGGGCTTATGTCTTTAAAAGATGGAAAAGAAATGAGTGCATAGAAAATAGAGGAAGGCAACATGAACAGACTCTTGGAGTCAGAAATAAAGATATTTCTATTTGGGTGCAGTAAAGAATAGTAGCGTTTTATTTTTTGTAAAAAAAATTATTCTGAAGAGTGTGAGTATAAGGTTGAAAAAGCTGATTGTGTCCATGTCTGGAGAGTTTTGGAAATTCCGTGTTGAAACAATTGGACAAAATTTTCTCTTCATTAAGGAACATTTGTAGCTTTGGATGAGGGAGCAACATGATGATATTCCTACTTTATAGGTATTAATTTTGCAGTAATGTTCATAGCAGAATTGAATGAAAAAAGGCTGAGGCAGGAGATAGGAAGTTCTCATTCACTCACTTACCTCTCCATCTATCTACCCAACTAATCATCCATTTAATCCAAAAACATACAGAGAGGCATGAAATAATAAGAACTGTGTAGCAAGAAGAGGGAGGAAACAATATGAGGCATGGCAAAGAAAGAATGAGAGCTAACCTCAAATTTTCAAACTTCTGATGACTATAAGAACTGTGGTACCAATAATGGAAACACTGAAGTTGTGGAACACAGAACAGAAGTTCAGATGAGGAGCTATTCTGGCTGTATAAAGATGAGTTAGTAGTGTAGGTCTTTCATAATATATGCGCAGGAATGTCACCATTATGATTACTGAAATTCAAGTAAGAAAAGAAATATAAAAGGAAGGAAGTTAAGATATAAATGTAAGTTAAACTAGATATATCTAAGTTCTCTGCCCAATTTGAGATTCCATCAATTGAGGAAAGGTTCTTCCATGCTTATGATATTACCATATAATTTAGAGGGCACCTTATTCAATCTCCTACTCATTAATTCAATGACATTTGCAGTACATGGTCATCCAGCTTCTCCTTGACATTTTCCAGGGATTATGAGGAGTTCATAACCTTTACACACCTCTGTAACTTTTCACTCTGCTCTTTCAGAAAGTTCTTTGCTAAGTGGAACTTAAATCTATATTATTCTTCATTCTAAGATTGTCATAATACATTATGATACTTTTACCACTTAAAACCCTTTAAGGGGATTGAAAGTAATGATTATGGCCTGCCAAGTCTCTTCTTATGACACATTCCATGCACGCAAGTGATGGTCACTCTACAAGAGGTCGATTTTCCAAGTCCAAAGCCATCTGATTCCAGGACTCACCTGGAGATCCATGGAGGCCACGATGCCCTGGTAACCCATCTATTCCTTTATCTCCAGGGGGCCCATGAAGTCCAGGAAGTCCTGGTAGCCCAATTCCTGGAGGACCAGTTGGACCAGGATGGCCTTTTTCACCAGGAAGTCCTGGTTGTCCTTTTTCACCTGGGAAGCCCTGTCCACCATCACCCTAGATGAGAATAAAAAATAATGAAAATCTATCTAAGAGACTAATCTGAAGAGTTCTCTGACCATGGGAAAGAAGTAACCAGTATGACTACGGCTTATGATTTGTTAAAATTCTCTATCACTCTAGTTTATGAACCTTCTCTGAGTTTAGTTAGTGGGAATGGGTCTTGTCAATTCTGGGTCCTGTGATATTTCAGATGGGGGTGGGAAAGAGGGAATAAAATGAACAAGATAACAATAACCCTTGAATTCCCAGAAAGTAGATGAATTGCTTGAATGGGAAAGCCATTGAGCAGCTGAAGTATTTTTAAGCGACATGGTGAATTGTTGCTAGCATTTATAAAATAAAACAATGACCATTCCTAGCAAAAGATTCCCATTTTATAGAAAAGCACAAAACCCAATGTGTCAGTGACAGAGGCAGGACAAAATATTGTGAATTCTTTATTTTGTCCTGTCCTATGGTCCAGTTGCCATCAGACCTCCTTACATCAGATAAGTGAGTGTGTACAGAGCTAGCTAATCAAATCAGAACAATCCACTTACTTGAACACCTGGCAGACCTGGTAAACCTGGTATGCCATCCTTGCCTGGGGCTCCTGTTATACCAGGGAACCCCTGCGGGCCTGGATCACCCTTCTCCCCTGGCATTCCCGATCCTGTTCTGAGAGTTGGTTCACCTTTCTTTCCTTTGGCACCTGTAAGACCTTGAGGTCCAAATGAACCCTGATAGAGAAACAAGAAGAAAAATCAGGAGATAAAGACTTCATAGAATTTTGGAATGTAGCAAAGGTATGACCGAAAGCAGGTCTTTGGGTATATTTTGGCACTGCTCTAAGCACTTGATTATGTTGTCATCTTGGATAATAATTTCCCATTTTCTGTATCCTTTCTAAATTTTGAAATCTTTAAGGATTGAAACGTCATCTTAATTCCTACCTAATATTTGGGGCCTAGCACAGTGACAAGCAAATTGTAGAAAATTTTGTGGAAAGAGGGAAGATTGAATTGAAAATAGGTATGTTAAAGCAGAAAGGGACTTTAGAGACCATCTAGTCAGGCTTTATATTACAAATAAGAAAACCCTGACGTTTTGTGTTATTCCTACCTATCTTTTATGTGCTTTAGGAAAGTGATTGGCAGAGAGTAAGGGACCCTTGAAAGCTCCTATTGCTCCCTCAGGGTCAAAGTTTCACAAGACTTACTGGAGTCCCTGCTGGGCCCTGTGTACCCTCAGAGCCTGCATCTCCTCTGGTTCCTTTAAGGCCTGGAAAGCCCATGAGACCTTGTGGCCCAAGCAGGCCAGGTTCCCCCGGTGGTCCGGTGTTGGGGATACCACCATCACAAGCACAAAATCCCGAGTCCCCTGGGGGAAAAACAGACAACATAAAACAAAGTGGGCCCTCTTTAAAGAAGGAAAAACCTGATAGTAGCTGTTTGTAACTTGGAGGGAATCAAAAGGCATGAAGAGAAGAGTTTCCCTAAGTTCCTGAAGGACTTCTTACTTTTAGTAAACTGATAATCCTTAAAACTCTGAGAGAACAGACTATTCTTCAGATTAGCATATCTTGAGCTTAAATGCTCTGAAATCTGCAATATTTTGGATTTCAGGTTTTGGTTAGGAATTCTCAACCAGTAAGATCTGTGCAATATTCCAAAATCTGAAGAATATGAAGTCTGAAACATTTCTGGTCGCAAATATTTTGCATGAGTGGTACTCAACTTGTATTTATCTAGTGTAATCCCTGGACCTTCTAATGAATCACTTGTGATGTTTGATTATACAGCCACTTCCTGGTCCCCAGTCCAGTCCTAATCAGTTAGATTCTCAAGAGGCTAAATCCAAGAATTTAATTTTTAGTAATTTCTTCTAGGGGGTATTCATGTATGATGAAGCTTGAGGATCACTATCTCTATTCTAAACTCAAAGAACACCTTTAGGCCCCATGGGCATACAGAAAGGGTAGCATCATAGTTGTTTCTATTTCAGGAATGAGAATGGTGTTGAGAAAGACACCAGCTCTGTGGTCAGTCAGGGAAGGGCCAAAATTAACATCGTAAGTCTAGCTTTGTAATTTAATGGCTTTTCCTACCCAGTCTTTGTTATTATGGTTTGGATTGAGAATGTTCCTTAAAGCCTCATGTACTCATAGGCAGGGCGTTTGGAAGGTGTTTGAGTCTTGGTTGATATGGCTCCACTTGCTGATAGGAGGTGGCATCTGGTCTGAAAAGACAGGTCCCTGGAATGTGTGACCTTGGAGGGTAGGTCTCCATTCCCAGTTCCTCCCTTTGCTCTGTGTGTTACCTGGCTGCCAGGACCTGAGCAGCTTTCCACACAGGCCCTCTCACCATGTTATTCCACCTTGGAGCATGCCAATCATGGACTGTAACTGTGAGCCACAATAAACATGTCCTCCTTTAAGTTGTGAGTTTCGATATTTATCGTAGCAACAAGAAAAGTGACCAAATACTTGGATTTTAATAGCAAAGTTTTCTGAATTTTCTGAACTATGTGAATATCTGAGAGTCTAAAGCTCACTGCTCCTGTACTTAGTGATAATTTATGACAGGACAAAGAGGAAGGAGAGAAATAAGTTAAAATTTCTCTGTTTGAGCCTGAAGAGAGTCATTAATTCCTGGAAAGAGGAAGAGAGATGTCAGATAACTCAAACCCCCAGGCCAGTGGTGGCTACCCTATGCACATGTGCTACAGTAGGCTGTTGTCTTTGAAAGCTCTAGGTTTGCCATCACTGCGAGGCCATCTCTAAACTTCTCTTCAGTCAGTAGATTCACTTCTCTCACCACCCTGGCTTGGGCTGCAGCCATAAATAATTGACTTATTTGAACATCTTCCCTTCAGAGGAAGGAATTCAGAAACACCCGAAGGGAGTAAAAAGATGGAGAGGAACAGTGCATCTGAAGGTTATGCTCACTGATTGGCTATTTAGCATCAGTGGGGACTTGAGTTTGGTTTCTTGGAGCAGTTTTTTTTTTTTTTTTTTTTGGTTTTTTGAGACAGGGTCTCACTATGTAGTTGGGACTGACCTGGAACTCACTATGTAGCCCAGGCTGGTCTCGAACTCACAGTGACTCTCCTGCCTCAGCCTCCTGAGTGCTGGGATTACAGGCATGGGCCACCATACCTGCTAGAAGTTTTTTTTTTTCAGAGCCTCAGGTCTTGACATGTTCAGAGCTCTTTGCTTTAAACTGAAAGTGATGATAAGTGGCTTCTAGCCTTGGCCTTGCAAACTGGGAGGGACTTGTGCTGGCTCACACCCTAGGCCACTAGCAACAGCATCTCTAGGTGCAGTAAATAGGAAGAGCAGCCTGCCAACCACTTTGTCCTGTGTGACCTCAACTACCAGCCTCAGTCTTAATTATAGCACTTCTGCGAATCCTATAATACAGTCCTCTCTCAGGAGTAAAGATTGCTTTCATTCGGGTTCCCAAAGCTGCTGGTTTGCTCATCCTCCACAAAGCCTTGTCAGAGAAGTTGGCGGGGGGGGGGAAGAAACTCAAAGGGACAAAATTACCTTTTACTCCTTTGTGGCCTGAGTTTCCCTTTAGACCTTGTTCTCCTCGGAGACCAGGAAATCCTGGCTCTGTGCCATATATAGTTCCAATCTTAGATGGTGGACCTGCAGGGAAAAGAAAGACTGGCAGCTCTTGACTCAGCACAGCAGCTCAAACATGAAGGCCTGGGTCATCAAGGCTCAACACCCACAGCAGAGACAAAACTATCTAAGGCAGGGACCCCTAAGTCTGTGGCAAGAGCCAACAAAACTCTCTGTTGTTTTACTTCACTGTATTACCACTTACAAAATGTGTACAGTGTTCCAGGCACTGGACTAGACACTGGACATTCAGAGATGAGCAAGGTAGCTTCACCAATTCAACAGTCCCAATACTTACTCCAGAAAGCCCCCTTATGAGGATAGGAGGACAGAAGAGTAAGCTGCAGTGGTCAAGGGATTTAGGATACAAAGAACTATGCTGGGGGATATTTCCAGCCTTTTTCTCAGAATCTAGAATCTCATACTCAGGTACAAGATCTGAGGAGAACAGGTCCTTGTAAGATTTATTCATTTATTTGGCATTGGAATTTGAACCCAGGGTTTTTGCATCCCAGGCAAGAGCTCTACCACTGAGCTAAACTGCCAGCCCCCCTGTGTAGGCTTTTTGGCATCTGTTTTGAGGATACAGGCATGAATTCTCTCTTAGGTGTTCAGCATTCCCCCTCTCATTTGAGCCCTCTAGGCTAGAGGAAGTCCAAAAAAGCCAATGCTGCTTCTCTGAGAGCCGAAAAGCCTCGAAGTAGAGCCTGAGGCTGGTGAAAGATGAAAGGGAAATGGCTACAGAATTTGGAAGGCATTAGGTGGTGTTTGATCATTCTGATGACCCCAGCTTTCTTGTTCTTTGATGAACACTTTGCTGTGTAGCTGACACTAGTGGAAGCAGGGCTCACCCAGAGAGGATAGAGGCTTTATTACTGCCTTTCTGTAGTTATCATGTATCTTGGCTGAGCTGTTTCATTTGTGATAAGTTCCATCAAAAATCATGATGTTTCTGTACTATGAATCATACCTGAGCCTCAAGACCAAAGAAAAACAGGAACAACTTACCTTGTGGGCCTGGTAGACCTGGTAGGCCTGGTAAACCAATTCTGCCAGGAAGGCCAACTCCTCCAATTGTGATGTGGCCTGGGTTTCCTAGGTCCCCCTTCAGACCTGGAAGTCCCTGAGGCCCTATAGTACCTGGCACACCTGGAAGGATAAGCCCACACAAAGATGTTCATATCACCCTATTCCTCAGGGGCACTCCTATCAGCGGCATGTGTGGGAAAGAACTGAAGGGAAGAATTTGGGAAAGCATTTGCCTTTCTATTACACTGAAGTTAGAAAGGTCTAGAGATATTTTAGCCCAACATCATAGGATACTGAGGCCCAAAGGAAAAAGGAAATATGTTCAGGGGCACAGTTTCTTAGTGGCAAACTCAAGAGGAAAATCGATCTGTAGTCCCCAACTTCCTGTTTTTTCCACCTTGGTGCTGGGCCAGCTGTACTTTTTCCAAGGGGCTACTTTAAAAACAGATATCCTTAAAGAGGCTCATCTACAAGAAATTTAGCAATCAGTGCTTTTAAAGTAATGTCTGAGTTTTTATGTTTGGGATAGCCCTATCTCTAGATTCTGACATGGTCTTTCTGTCACTATAGAACGCCTCTGATGATTGGTTCAAGGGTGTCACCCATAGGATCCTGGGACCATTTAGTGCCTGACTTAATCCTAGACTGAAGGTCTGGTATAAATTTTTACTCTGGTTTTTCATTAGACCCTCTTGGCAAGCATTAGCTATGATGACACATTCACAGAAGAAAGACAGAGCTCTAGCCACCCAATATAGACCTCTGGTAGTGCAAATATCGACAAAACTCTGGGATTGTCTATCCAGCTATGGTAAATCATTTGAGATAAAGGAAAGCTGAAGAATGGGACTCAGGTACCCAGGAACCATCCCTGCATAGATTGGCATTGGGCTGGCAGGGAGAGAAACTATGTAGAGGTATAGAAGGAAGTTTTAGGAACAAGAGTGGATAGAGGACTGATATGTGAAAAGAATGGATTAACTTTTTTCACCTTGTAAGGCTGGAAGGCCAGGGATGCCAGAAGGGCCACGTTGGCCCTGGATGCCTTCATCTCCTTTAAATCCCGGGGGGCCTGGCATCCCGGGATCTCCAGGATTACCTGGAATCACAATGAAAAACAAAGTAGTAAGCACAGTAGAGAGCCACCATGCCACAAAATTCCCAAAAAGCAATGCAGAGAGCTCTTCTGGGTCTGAAATACTCTTTCCTGCCCTTTCTAGGTCTCCCCAGTGCTAATAGTAATAATGGGCCTACAGGAGCTAAGGATCCACAGGTGTTCAGAATTGGTCTGGTCAGGGCTTTCCTTTCATGATAAGATCTATTAAGTACTAGGAAAGATCTTTTACTACTCTTAATCTGTAATGTTCACCATTTGGATTAAGATGTTGAAATCCACTATTTATATTATATACATAGGTTTCCTGGGAGTGAGTGGGATACAGAAAGCCACTGTCAAGCATTTATTTATTTATTTATTTATTTATTTATTGTGGTACTGGGGATTGAACTCGGGTCCCTGTGCTTGCAAGGCAGGCAGTAGAACCACTGAGCCAAATCTCTGGCCTGTCAAGTATTTATTAATCAAACAGGGCATGGACCTGATATGACAGGAGAGGAATAAGTTAAGGAGACTTGGGTGGAAGACGCAGTGTAGTAGAAGTCTTTGGTCAAGCAAGAAGTAGCTAGAGACACTTGGCATCTAGATCTTTGGAGAAGACAAGGGGAAAAGGAGGGTATGCATAGTAAGTAGGAAAATATGAGAAAAACACAAACTTTCTAAGTATCATACTGTTAAAGGCTCTCAACAACTTGATCCCCTATCCAAAGATACTTTCCTACTTCCTACACAACTGGCAAGCTTAAGAATGTATGGGCTCATTTATATAAGACCCTGAGTAGCCCATAATACTGGGCTGAAGCCAGACAGGCTGGGGAGGATGCTAATCTTTCCCTAAGCATAACCAGGAGAATCATTTATACCAAACTCAGGACTAGGCAGATAGAAATTCTAGTCCTGATAGACCCAATATAAAAACAGGAGGCTTGGCTTGGCCTCTCTGCCCAAGAGTTTGGAATTTGCTTCATTCACCAAGCTCAGGACCCATGAGGGGCCCTTATTAGCAATCCAATGGCTGACAAAGCATTTTACAAAATTGTAGGGGCTATGGAATTTAACTCTTTGGTTTTTTCCTCTGGTCAAATCAGTAAAGAGTTGTACCTGAGATCATAGCACCATCTGCACTCATGAAAACATCTGGTCCTGGTAGGCCAGTCCCACCTTTTTCACCCTGCAATGATTAAATTAAACACAAATATTCTGTGATCTCATTGTACAAGATCTACATGCCATCAAAGCCAATACCCAGAAAAATGAAAAGCTCCTTTTTTTGTGACCCGTGACTCCAAGGTAAGCTAATCAAGGGGTTAATTTCAAAGTCCAATAAATTGGAGATGAAGGAGACACAAGGCAGGCCAGCGGCCTGATACTCAACTGCAAACCCAATAAGGACAAAGGATCCCAATTTTATTTTGCAAGACCAGTTAAAGAATTTCTGTTTCTGAGCCTGGGAAATATATCATAGGCATATACAACTTGGCGGTATCTAAGAAATGTGAAGGAAAGAACAGAATTTCATTTTTTTCTACTCTTAATATGACTAGGCCTCTGCTGGTGTTTTTATCCTTGTTAGTGAATAATGTCAGATAGATGAAGCCAGTGGAGTCCCTGTTTCCCAAAAGGAGGACTCAGGTACCAGAATCAGATGCAGTGGAATACCTACAATAGGTTGTAGCCGCTGTCTGGCAATAGGGGATGCATTATCTATAGGGAATTTAAAAACAATAATAAAACCTAAAAGTTGGTAGTATCTGAGGAATGATCACTGACTTTGTGTGTTCATAATTCATTGCATGCATCTCTTGAGAAAATACTGATATATAAAACATCAAAATATTGAAAACACTGAATCTCATATGTATGTTTCTATAATAATTGTTCACTTTTCCACCCCCCTGACCCTATGCTTTCATTTCCCAACATTACCTTAATTCTCGGGAATCCATTAAACCCAGGAATACCTGGAGACCCCTTCTTGCCCTGTGACAGAAACATAGTTACCACTAAATTCAAAGGAGAGGCTTGTCTCTGGAAAGATTAGGGAAAATAGTGCAGGGAGCTTGGCTGGCATTCAGAGTATGCATGGCTTCTCCCTGACTCTGGGAGCCATACAGCCTTTCAGAAGGAAATATGCTGCTAGGTAGTCAACTTGTATATTAAGAGGTACAAAGATCATAAGGCTATGAATATAAACAGGCTGGCCTTGCTAGCTCTTGATAACACGCCAAAGATGTATTACTTCATTTGGCATGAAAGGCACCATGTGTCACACTAGATATCCATCCTCTTGAGGGAAAACAAGAGTGGCTAATATCACAAAATTATATTATTAAAAGAAGGTGAACAATTTGTATTATAAGCAATGTCTCCATTTGGCAATGTTGATTAAAGCAAAGGGAACTTCAGATTAGCATTTTATACACTAAGGCTTTACTGATATTAACCATAATACCTTTGTCCCTGGAGGGCCTGGCACGCCTTCTGAACCCATGGGACCCTGTAAAGAGAACAGTCACACTTATAAAGATTAATAACTTACACTGGAAAAAAGCTACTGAATTTATAAAACAAAGTTATCCAGCTGAGTTTAGAATTTAGTGGCTCCAAAAATCAGGTAAAAGAATGTTCTTAGACCTGGCTTAATGACTTCTTTCTAAGCACTAATGCATGAGGCTGAATAGCCATATGAAGCATTTTTAAGAGCTCAATAAATAGAAATATGTTCAGTAGTAGGTGAAATTTAGTAGAAGAACTGGTGGTCTTATACTTAGTCTGCATTAGTTCCACATCAGAAGATTTTTAAATAGATCATGGGAAGGCCTCTTATCTTCCACCTCAAATATATTCTTTGTAGGTGGTTACGTGCTTTCAAGACAACAGAGAGGGAAAAGTGGAGAAAGAAATGGTATGGTAATGGGTTAATCGATACTCAAAAGGGCTTTGAACAAATCTCATGGACAAGCTAAAAGCACAACTCTTTAAATGTTACTTCTTTAAGACTAAGATGTGCTAACTGCTTATAACTCAAAATTTAATGCCTGACCACGAATCAGACAGGTTGTTATTTCTTCCACTCAAAGTGAGATTATTATTGGAAACTGTTAGTGCTGAACATTACTAGCTATGTTTTAGAACTTCCCAGGCTTGTTTCCACCTTATAAAGATTCCTCCATTCCTGTGTCACCCTCTTGCCCATATTCTCATGGAATAGAATGAAAATATGGATAGGATGAAAGTAAGACTTCCCTCCTATTATTCTTTAGCCTAGAAGACAGGTGCACATGAGGGCAAGGTCAGGCTGAGGAGCCACCCAGAGTAGGGGGTACATCATTTCTTGTTCAAGGGAACCACTTAGTCAAAGGAATGGAGCCAAGTGAAAAAGGAAGAGGTCTTAAAAACCTGCCAGAAGGCTGATGAGGAGAAATAAGAGAGGCTTAGGTGGCTCTCGAGTTACATAACATAAAGGGCTAAACAGGAATGCAAACAGACCAAGTGACTTCACAGACTTGGGCAGGAACATTACAGGCTCATACCCTAGGTCCTGGCAAGCCAAGGATTCCTTTTTCTCCAATAGATCCAAATTCCTAAAGGAAAAAGGAAACCACAAGTTGTAACATTCATTTTCTCATAGGTCTCTTGGCGCCATTGAAAGGGAGGAGGTAATTTCAAACCAGCTCCACTGTCCTGTTAGGGTGGCATATTACGCTGAGTTTCTTGTCAATGCCTGAAAAGCACAGAGGGCCTGAATATTAATTTGGACCATTTGTTTGACATTCTTCTTTGTTTCTAGAATAATGTATTTCCTCTATAACAGTATTACATATTTTATAGCATCTTGAACTTACAAAAACAGAAATAATAAAATATCTAACCATATTGATTTTACACATCAGGAATCTAATACAGAAGGGTTAAGAATCAATGAGAAAGACAGGTTTTCTGACTTCTATTCCACGGCCCTTTCCATGAGAACTGGCTGCCTTCCACCACCTAAAAACTTGACTTTTTTCACCCACAAGTGGAGGATTGTGCAAATCCTTGGGGGCTGATACTAGAGACAAAGGATTTTTTTTCCTTTGGAGACATGATAACTACATCCTTTCCCATGGGAAAGAGTATTTCTACCAAGTCATGGTCAGGAACTCTGCAGCTCTATACTGGGACTATATATAAGTTTCCTGCTTTCAGAGTACAGATTTTGGCAAACAATATATAGGCCTATTGTAAAAGTAAAGGAGGAAGTGATGCTTTCTCAAATGTAAGCTTCTGAAAAGGCACTAAATATCATGGTACATTCCGTGTCTCTTTCATTTGACCTGGCTCATCTGTTGTGAGGCCAGTGCTCCAACCCCATTTGTAGCTTTTTCTTCCTTTTACATATTCAATAAATTTCCAATGGGTACTAAAAGCTGGCTGAATACTCCCTGGTTTTCTAGGTTTATGGGTTTTTTTTTTTCCTTTCTTTTCTGTGGGGCAGGTATGCATTTGTGAGGAGTCCAATCCAAAGCAGGTTTTGGTTCCTACTTGCCTCTTCCCTTTTCTGCATTGATACTGTGTGCCAAATAGTTCAGCCATTATAACAAATAGAATTTCTAATTTGGAAAGATTGTGAGATAAACTGAATACAAATTTATTTGAAATCTTAGTTTTCCACATTTCAAATAGGAAACTAATGTGTGCTGCCCCCTGGTGGAATGTGTCTATTGACCTTTGAGGTTGAATCCTTCAAGTAGCCTTCCCTGTTCTGTCCTTGAGAGCTATGGCAGCGGGTGCTCCCCCAATCTCTTTTTTGTTTTGTTTTGTTTTTTTGAGACAGGGTCTCACTATGTAGTTGAGACTGACCTGGAACTCACTGTGTAGCCCAGGCTGGTCTCGAACTCACAGTGATCCTCCTGCCTCAGCCTCCCGAATGCTGGGATTACAGGCGTGCGCCACCACACCCGGCTTTTACCCCAAACTCTTAAACCACTTCCATAGGCTATGAAAGTTTTGTAATCAGAAGTTCTCTGTGACACTCTCTTGTCTCTCTCCAAAGCATGTTACTGCTCTCTGCACACATACATGACAGTGCAGCATATACTTGTTGAATTGAATGGAACAATGACCTAGCGAATAAAACTGTGTCAAAGGATAAAGGAAATAACACCCAAGAACTTTCTCATAATCCTGCCTATCTTTCCCAGAGGTAAAAATATGAGAGCCTTGTATTCTTTTAGAAAGCAGAGAGACTTTGCATTCCTGCTTTTTTAGAGTCCAAGAGCTTGTGCTACATTGTCAACTAAAGTGAATAAGTGGAAAATGTATGAAGGCAAAATAAAGCAAAGAAACTTGGGTGGGGATTAGGGCTAATAAAAGATAAATGACTTGGTAGATGTGCTGCAGGTTCAGCCTGTCTTCTAGCATGAGGGGGTACTGTACAGGAACCTTGCTGAACAATCTATCCTAGCAAGATGTCCTGGGACTAGCCTGTCACAGTTGGCCCTTGATGTGAATGATCCTGCATCCTGCATTGGCAGCTCCTACTCTCATACTTTCCCATGGTTCAGAAAGCCTCTTTCCAGCACTAGCTTAGCTATTTCCAGGCCTGCTCTCCAGGCCTTGGGCTCCTAATACTTTTTGGTTCTTAGGGAAACTTTATCGAAGGAGATTCCACCCACTGAGTAGTTAATTCAGATCCACTCAGCAGTTACTTTAAGGATTTAGTTTCTTCTCATCTCCCTCCCCATTTCATCCAGTTTGCTTTCCTGTTTGCTGGTACCTTGGCAGAGGGCTTAGGGGTATACAGCCCTCTCTGACAACCTCCACGGACAACCTGTTGCTTACACATGTGAATGTGCTCCTGGGGACAAAGAAATAGAATGTGTAAAGCTGAGACTGAGCCAGAAAATCAGGACTATTTGACCACTGCTAATGGACAAGAGGAAAAATGTGAGGCATAAATCCACCAGACTGGACTCTTTGTCTCCTGCAAAGATTCGGGCTCAGATTAGAAAGAAACAAATGGTTAAAGGGAGCATTTTGGATTCCTTAGAGATTTCTCTCAGCACAGCCTTGTTTTTCAGTGAGCATGGATAATCCAAAGCTGATGTGAGGGCTTTGGATTTGAGAACTGTGTTTCCTCTGAAAAACATTGAATACCTCATATATTCTATCACATTTCTCCTCAACTTTTACATAAAAAGCAAAAAAGGTACCTAAGAATGTTCCAATTAAGCAGATAGAGATATCACAGCAAAAGAGTTACATGATTTGGCCAGGGTCACACATTGTATCTGTACTAACGTGGGCTGAGAACACTAATTTATTGGTTTCCACATTATGAAAATATGCCGTTCTATGTAAAAAGAGATACTGTACAGATTTGATGCCTTTACAACTGGGGTTTCTATTTTCCAGTTCACACTGAGCTTGAAATAGTATTGCAAGGACCGTGGTGCATTGCCCTCTGTCACTCTCTTTCTTTTGTAAGATAAAAGGGACCGCGTTGAAACAGTAGCAGAGGAAGTCCTCTGAGACTAAACAGAAGAAAAGGGGAAGGAGGTAACAGGAGCTAGTGAATCCTAAGGCAGCAGAGGAGATCATAAAATCCTATTTTAAAAATTTAAAAACTAAAACGCTACGGCGGCCCTGCCTAGAATGAACTGGACTGTAGGGGGCAGCATGGTATGGGTAAAAAGCTCTGAACTGGCTAGACTTCAACAGAGCTGAATGTCAGTCTCAGCTCTGCTCATGACCAGCTGAGCAGCTCTGGACAAGCCTCTCCCTCTGTTCAGGCTGTGTTTTCCTGAGGGATAAGCCTGAGCTCAACTCACTTACCTCACAGGGATGATACAAGTTGCCTAGAATCTACATGTAATGCTCTACAAAGAAAGGTGCTAATTTTACTCCCAAATGCACTTGCAAAGTGCTGTCCAATTAAAAACATGACATGACCTACTATGTCATTTTCAATTTTTTAGCAGCCACCTTACAAAAGCAAAATAGAGATTAATTTCATGATATATTTTCTTTAACCAAATGTATTTTAAATATTATTATTTTCACATTCAAGTGAAAATTGTTCCTTTTTCATATTGTTTTTAAAATCTAGTGTGAATTTTATAATTACAGTACACACCATTTCAGATCAGCCACATTTGAAAATGTTGGTAGTCATATGTGGCTACTGGTCATCTCATTGAACAGCACAGTTTTATACTTTGTAAAGAAATTTCACATATGTTGTGAGTTTGGCCTCACAAGAGTAGATATGATCTCTGCCATGTTGCAGATATTCAGAGAGGTTTAACAATTTGTCAGTCCTAGAGCTGCAGCTGGGTCCCTGACAGGCATATCCAACCTGTGGCTTGCAGGTCTCTTGCCCTCTTTTTTAAAAATGTTGTAATAAAAAATAAAAAGGAAATTTTGTTACTTGCATACACAAACTGTATTATTTATTTTATATGTGGCCCAAGATAATTCCTCTTCACTCAGTGCAGCCCACACAAGCCCAAAGGCTGGACATGTATAGAAGGTCTGGGTATTCTGTCCCTAATACCAAGGTTCTCTTCTTTTCTGTTCATTAGCTGCAGAGCTGATTAAAATCAAGGGCACTGAGCGATGTTTCTCTATTCCCCTTCGCTTCTATGGCATAATAAGGATGTTCATAGAAGCAACCTGTGCCACTGGCTCTCCAGGTTCTGCTTTTTGGCCACCCAGGGAAACCCAAAATGTTTCAAGGTACAGTACTGTAGGGAAGGAGTGGACCCAGGTATCCCCACTGTGCTAGCAAGCAGAGCAAGACCTTGCCATATTTAATTCATCCATTTTCCTCCTCATACCTATCTCCAGTCCAAGAAAATTTTATCGGCTTCTTCAAAACATATTCTGTGTTCTAAAATCCATCAATCAAATGTTATGTATTGATATTCTTTGTTTTTTCATTCGAACTAGGCACTTGTGAGATATATAGATATGTATGATAATTATATAATGGAATTTTGCCTTGTTAAGTGATACTAAATAAATGCTGATAATTGCTGATGGTGACAAAGTCAGTATATTTTAAAAATTCACTGTCTTTTAGAAATACTGAAGTATTTATGATGAAATAATATGTCTATTATTTGTTGCAGATTAGCCATGCTAATTGTTGAAGCTAGGTGATGGATATATAGTAGATCATTATGCCACTCTCTCTGCTTTGGTATGTTTGAAACGTTCCATAATAAAGGTTAAATGCATTCACATTTTGAATCTGTCCACTTTTGTCCATTCCCCGTTGCTATGACCACAGTCCAAGACACTGGAATGATCTTTTGGTTACTGGAATAGCCTGTGCTTGCTTCTCCACCCTTCCCTCCTACTTCTCCCCCACTCAAACGGGGGTGATCTTAAGAATACAAGCCAGAAAATTTGAATGGCTTCCCAGTCTCCTTAAAAGCCACATCTGACCTACAAAGCTGGCCACGACCTGACTCCTGCCTCTCTTCCTGTTTCTTGGAGTTATTCATTCTGTGCTGCCCATTCTCCTTTTTGCTGGTCCTCAAAAGTACTGAGTTTTTTCCAACCTAAAGATCTTGCCCCCAAACTCTCCAATTTTTTTTTTTTGTACAGGGAATTGCACTCCAGTCCTTGTGCTTTCGAGGTAGGCAGGTGGTGTTACCACTCAGGTAAATCCCAGGCCCTCTGATCTTTATATGACTTACTCTCTCACAATATGCAGATGTCAGTTCGTGTATCACATGCTCAGAGAGGTCCTTTTGATCACTCTATCCCAAGTGGCCCATCCTGCTCTCCATCCACACTCCTTCACTTTACCTATTTGCTTCATTTTACATACCACCGTTACATGAACATGTTTGTTTGTTTGCTTTGTGGTACTAGGGCTGGAACCCAGCCCTCATGCATACCAGGCAAGCACTTTACCATGGAGCCACACTCCCAGGCCATTCTTACAGAGACTCATTTTTTTTACTTTTTTAATTTTCCATATCATCCTTCCCTTCCCCATTAAAATGTAATCTCAAGGACAGGGACTTTTATTTAGTTATTGTTGTACTTTCTGAGTCCAGAAAAATATGTAGCACATAAGAACCCTCAAAAGATATTTGGTGAGTGAAAGAATCTAAGCTAAAAAGGTAGGCCAGGGATTTAGCTCAGCTGTTCGGTGGCCTGCCTTGCAAGCACAAGGACCTGAGATCAATCCCTGGTACCAAAAAATAAAAAATAAAAAAATAAAAAGGTAGAAGCAAAAGTGAAGATATGATTACTAAAAATAGCTACCATTTACTGAACATTTGATGAGTGCTAGACATCAATGAAGTCCTTTTCATGCAAAGTATCTCATTTAGTCCTCAAAACTACCCTATCACTGTCCCTTTTTAGTAGGTTAGGAAACTGAGACTCCAAAACCTAACAAACTTAAAAAAGCTACAATATGATGAAACTAGGAGTCAATACTAGATCTGTTCAAACACTAGAGCTTGAGCCAATAACCTCTAAGGCACATAGCCCTGTGGAAAAACATGTTAATATCCCCGTGAGTTCAAGAAATACGAACAATTCCTTAACTGGCTTCTAATAGTGATGACCATAGCATTCTCTTCAATAACTATGGGAAGAGGTCTTCCTGTTATCATCCTAGTGCTACAGCTTTTGTCTAGCCAGAAACCTGAATACATGTCAACCAAGTAGGAAGACTTACCTGGAAGCCCGGAGGGCCAATCATGCCTGGGAGTCCCGTGGGCCCTGGTTGACCCTGGAAAATTAATCAAAGGCTATTGAGTAGCTGTGGGAAATGATGAACACAAAGAAGGATGGCTTCATTAACAGTATTTGGGCTGAGGAATGGGGAACCGATAGATATCTGGATTGGAGTACCAGATAGTGCTGTAGATTCCCCATGCTCTCCAACTGTCCACAGTACCAGGAAGTTTTAGGTGAGGGAGCCCTTTTTCAGGTGGGAAGGACCAACACCAATGACTGTTTAAAACAGAATATCAAATGTGTAGGCTAATGGGGAGATACAAAAGATGATTATCTGTTTTTCTTTTGGAAGAGGATGTTCAATTTGGTTTCCTGTAGCAAAATACAGGCTTCAGAGGAGTCAGTGGTTTCAGGGAAAGGATAACAATTATAATTTGGATAGGGACAATTGACATTTTAATATTTCTTTCCCTAATATGCTACTTTACCTATCTGTGCCATGGAAAGGCTCCCTTAGGTTTGGGAATGATCAAGGATGCAGGCACTCTCATACATTCTGAGACTTTCCAAATCAATGATTATTTCCTGTAAACCTAGAGGGACGTTACTTTCGCAAAGATAATAGCAAAGAAGTGAGAAGACCAAACACATTTCCCCACCTGGACCCCTTAACCATGGCAGCAGAATCACAAAACTCTAAGGAAGCCCATAAAGGAAGGAAATGCAGGTTACTGAACAGAATACAGCCATTCAAACCCAACCATGTATATGCTAAACATCCATTCACACAAAAATACAGGTTATAGGATAGCTCAGTTAAACTAGTCTGTAGCCTGAGCCTGAGCAGTTTACATCATTTGCTGCCACTTAGTCATATATCTTAACTGTAGGGTCAAATTTCAAAGCAAATAACTTCTTAAAAAAGATAATTCAAAAGGAGCCATTTTTATGCTATGTGTTCTGGGGGGAAGAAGTGGGTTACTGAGGGTGTGACCTGGAATGGTTTATTTCCTTCCCATCACTATTTTTGCTTCCTGAGTGCCATGAACTGAGCAGCTTTGTCTCTTCTATGTCCTTCTATTGTGCTGTTCTGCCCTTGAACCAGCCAACCATGGACTACAACTGTGAGCCAAAATAAACTTCTTCTCCTGTAAGTTATAGTTACTGGTTATTGTGTCCCAGCAACAAGAAAGTGACTAAGACAGATTTTAGTCACAATGCAGTGGGGACAGAGGTTTAAGTAGTTTGGGAGTTAGAAGAGAAAAACTCAACTATCTAATGCTTGTTCTAAGTTATTCAGCATATCAAAAAATGAATATTCAAGATAAAACAGAAAATAGCACTTACGTGAATACTTAGGAACACAGGCATACTCACACCTATGCACTAAAAAACACACTTAAACTTTTAGAAAGCTTTTTACAAGGGACAAAACAAAGAAGGCTTTTAACCCTTACTTCCAAATACAAATTTGTTATTTAAAACTTTCAGTTCTTTTAGTAGAGACTGGTTGTTAGAGTTGAATTCTGATATTGATAGAAAAGAGCTAATTAATTTTTCCTATCCTTTTTTTGGCACTGGGGATCAAACTAGGGACCTTGTGCTTGCAAGGCAGGTGGCAGAAACACTTAGCTAAATCCCCGGCCCTTTTTTTTTCCTATTCTAAATGTTCTTACCTTGGATCCCTTCTTCCCTTTGGGAACACCCATGAATTCTAGTTCCCCAGTAGATGGTGGTGGTCCTGTGGGCCCGGGGAGGCCAACATCCCCCTGTGAAATCAAAGGCCACATGAAGTAAAAGATAAACCATGCAGATCATTTTTTTTCTTTTTTTTTTTTTTGCAGAGGGACTGTTTATCTTCTCAATGTAAATCACAAAGAAACTACCCATTACTTTGGCCCCTGCTTCTTACACCACTGAGGAAACAAAAACTATCATTGATAAGGGATTGAAAATAATTATAAGCTGGGACAATGCATTTCGTTTCAGCAATGCAAAGGGAAGAAACAAAATGATGAAGAGAAACCACAAGTTCATGGTTGTCATGGTCATGCACAACAGGTTTTTAAAAGAGCCAAAACGTGGTTTGAGCAATGTGAATTGTTACTTCTTGGTAGCAATGATAAGACTCAATCGGTTGTACATTTGCCAAGAACACAAGCAAAGGGAGGGAGTGGTGTTTTGGAGTATTAGAGGCTAGGGTTGCTCCTTCACAAGGCAGGAAAATTCACAAGAACCAGTCAAGGGGAGGAAAGCACCCAATTCATATAGTTTGCATAGAGGGAAATGAAGAAGGAGGAAGATAAAAGATGGTGAAAGAGAGGCTAAGGAAGGTAAATAGACAAGATAGAGATAATGTGATGTCCTCCAAAAGACTTGTATGTTCAGAGGAGGGGTTTTGGAAGGTGATTAGATCATGGGGTTGCTATCAATGAGTTCATAGCTGTCTGTGCTCTTAGGAGGTGGGCCTGGCTGGAGAAAGTAGATCACTGGGGGATATAACCTAGAAGGATATATTCTTGTCTCTGGCCCTTTCCCTGCTTGGCCTGTTTTAAATCTTTTTTTGTTTCCTGGATGCTAAGAAGTGATCAGCTTTTCTTCACTACATTTCTGCCTTGGAGTCAGCCAACCATGGACTGAAATCTCTGAGACCATGAACCAAAATAAATCTTTTCTCCTATAAATTGTGAATGCCAGGTATTTGGTTTCAGCACCAGAAAAGTGACTATTATAGGCTTAAAAGAGGATGAAGAGGAGGAGAAGGAGGAGGAGAAGGAGGAGGAAGAAAAGTGACTATTATAGGCTTAAAAGAGGATGAAGAGGAGGAGAAGGAGGAGGAGGAGGAAAAAACACAGAGGGAGGTTGCAGAACAGAGAACAAAAAGAAGGTGATAAAATATAGAAAACAGTAAGGAAATATCCAAGTGTGAGGAAGAGAAGGAATATAGTGTAAGAGAGTATGTGTGTTAGACAGGTAAAAAGCAGGGAGATGACAATATTTGAAAGGAAATGAACAACAAAAATCTATGTATGGCACGTGCACATGCCACCTTCAAGGGATCCCTAGTCTGAGTGGTGGATGTGGGACAGAAAATGCTCATTTCCTAAAGTAAAGAACAAAATTCCCTTACATGAGCAGGAGTGTAACGAAAGATATTTCTTAGAGCACATGGAATGCAGACTATATTTTGTATAATCTACTTACCTTGACTCCTTTTTTTCCTTGGAAACCTAATCCTATATTTCCCTGGGGCATAGAAGTGTAGGGGAGAAAAACAAAATCAATTATTAGCAACCAGCTCCAAGAACTAAAATTGGAATGCAATATTTTTATTTATTTTTTTGGAATGCAATTTTTTTTCTTTACCAGAGAGTAAATTTGAACAAACCAGTATCTCTGGAGAAACCAGCTTATTTAAGTGGCAGGAGACAAAATACCTCAAGACTAAGTATACTTACATCAGGACCAGGGAAACCAGGGGGGCCTGAAGGACCCTAAATTAAATACAGAAAGAAAATAGCATGTGTTACTTTAAATTAAAAAGAACAAGAGCATTCTGGGAATCACTAAGGATAAGGTCCCAACTCTGCTTGGTGTAGATTTGCTTTGGTATAGCAGGCTCTAGCTCTTCCCAGGATATTCTATCTTCTTTGAAATCTTCAATTTGACCTGGTAACCAGATTCTTGTTAATATCGTAAAGACTTATTTTTATTCCTTCCAGCAGGTGAGAAATTTTAAAGTGACTCGGTGAAGCTAAGTCAAAATAAAAAGTGGTAGGAATCCATGTATTTCAGAGAACAATCTGGGGACAGGGCTATCTTAGGACTGCATAGATGACTGGCTATGCTCTTCCTACACTAGTCATATATGGATTTGATATTAGAAAAGTAAGTATGCATGTACAGCTATCCAAAGTGCACTTCTTAGAGGAGTTCTCATTGTTCAGGGTAGGTAATAGTGGTACTATTACTGATTAGCAGTATCTGTTGTGGGTAAAGATGGCAATCGGAGTGTGAGGCATCTATCATTCTTTGCTACACATTGAGTTAGACCTGAAGGATTTGGAGATACAAATTGGATGGACAGAAAGACTGATAAAGAAATCCACTAACTCATAGGAAGAGCATGTTTCATTCTAATCCCCCAAAATGAAAGTTGTCCTTCAGTAAGAGAGCCTAAATTACATAAGCTTACATTTAACACATGGCATGGTGAAGAAAACAGTCATGTGAACGTTGTGTTCACATATTACATTTAAGTTGGTCTTACTTGCAATCCTGGTGGTCCCATGGGTCCTGCATCTCCAGGAGTTCCAGGTGATCCTTGTGGGCCCTAGACAGGCAAGTTTTTACCAACGTCAAAAAGCAAGACAGTTTCCCGAGAAAAATGCAAATATGTACATCCATATAAGAATGTTCACAGCAACTTTATTCCTAACAGTCAAAATTGGAAATGCCCCAGATATCCATTGATACAAGGATTGATAAACAGTGATATCTCCATACAGTGGCTTAAATACTAAATATTTAAATTAAAATTTTAAATATTTAATATTAATATTTAATATTTAATATTAAATAATATTT